ATACTGTGGGTGGTTGCGAAATCAAATCCCGCCGCCGTTCGGAAGCCCTGGAATGATATGGATCCCCCGGCAACATTGGCCATCCTTTTTTTGAGGGTGCCCTTTTTTGGCTGGCTTTAAAGGGAAACCGCCGGGAAACCACATATATAAAGGGAAAGCACAGGGAAACCATATATATGTATACATATATATATATATATACACATGTGGATTCGTTCTTGAGGGTTCCCCAAAAAATGGCACCCAAGACTCCGGTGGTTTCGCCGAGGTGTTTTTCACCGCGGATGCGGTGCTTCACGTGGAAGGCCAATGGCCGGAGCTGGACTGCGAGAAGACCACCCGCAAGGCGCGCGTTGAGTTCTCCGAACCACAACCGCTGACCAAGACTCACTGTGGATGGTTGACCCCCGTTGCAGGCTCAAAATAAAGTTGGGGCGGGTCGGATCCTAAAATATGTCATCTACTTTTTTTTAGTCCAACCCCCCTTTTTCCATTAAAACTCATTTTGGCCTCTGTGAAAAACCCTTCAAAGTTGGACTGAACTCATTTCAAATTAACATGAGGCAACCCGCGGCTTCCCCAGGAAGTGCCGTTTTTTCAAGTCCATTCAAGGCCTGGAAAACATTGGACCGCGGCAACTACATTTTGAACATGGCATTTTGTTAAAGTCTATTAAAAACCAGTGTGGAGTTGGACCACGTTAACGTTAGGGGGGCGGGAAGGCGGTCAAAGAATCATTACTTTGATCGCGCTATGGATTTCGGACTCCTTTTGCTTCGTATTTGTTGTTGGGAACCAAAAGGAAACCGAAGCCTGCCTGGAGGATTCGGTCCGAATCCAATTCTGAGAAACACAAGACCAACATCTAGTTCAAAACCTTACTGAAACCATGAGGATTTCAAGGAAGCCAGGGTGAGCCTAAACAAACCATGCGAGTTGAACCCCCCCGACTTTATTTTGTGAAAAAGCGAGTGTGCAAAATAAACATGAGTTGGACCCCCTGCTTTTTATGTTCATCCAAAAGTAAAATGAAATACGTTTTGGCCAACTTGGACTGTTCAATCCAAACCCCCAAAAGGAGGCCAAAATGAATCGTGATCTGTCAAACTTGGACTAGTTAATTTTATTTTTCAATAAGGATGGACTAACCCTAGTTTATCTGATAAAATGGGAGGGGGTTCATCCTTGTTTGGAGCCTCTAACGGGGGCATGGTTGCGAATGTTTTGGAGGAAGTCGATGTACAGCATGATTTCCTTTGAAGTGCCTTTCTTTCGTTTTGCGTGCTTTTTAATTTTAGCATCGCGCGGAGTCGCTCTGCATCCGAGAGAGAGGGAGAGAGGGATGGTTGCGAAGATCTGCACCACCTAAGGATTCAGGAATGCTTATTCTCATGGAATGCTTGTTTTTAGTGTTTTTAAAGTGGAGTGAACGGATTTTGTCCATCCACAGTATGCCGCTAAAGGCTCCAGGTCGTTTTAGGCTCCCTACTGCTGGACGAAATCCGTTCGCACCACGATGGTATTTCCGCCGGGGACTTGTGAGAATGAAAGGCGCCAAATGGAAGGCGCACCCTTCCGGGTCCAACTCCCAAGCGAAGCCTAAGGATTAAGGAACCCCAACCCAAGGGGTTCCCAAGTACTCCGCCCCATCGAATGGGACTCCATACTTCAGGGGCGGAGTTTTTGCCACCTTGTCCCCAATTGCTGATTTGGACACTTTGGGCTGCTTCCCCAGTATCTGATTTCAGGGATGTTTGCAAGTTAGTGAAGTGGCCAAGTGGGCCAAGCGGATAGATGAGAGGTGAGTTGGAGCGAGATGTCCAAGATGAAGCTGAAGCAAAATGGATCGCAAGTCATTACCTATGATCAGTACATCGCCAAGGACCGAAGCGGTCGACTCGGCCAGATTTTACCCGCCGGTTCTGGCCGGCTGTTTCGCTAAGGTTTTGTTTCGCCAGTGGACTCTGCCGGATTTCACCTGCCGGTTTTGGCCGGCTCGCCTTTTTTGAGGTCCATGAGTCTACCAGCAAACCGGCTGCCCCTAGCACATGGTTGCTGTTGGGAAACATTTTACATTTTTGCTTACTGTTAATGGGAATCCCCACTGAACTGCTAGACTTTGAATTGTTGCTCCCCTTCCAACGTCAACCGGGAGCAAACCGCACGGGGCCCCTGGCCAAGACCCCCAGCCCTCCCAGCCGCGCATCGCCCAAGCCGCGAGGACGGCAGCGTGGCGGAGCTTCCGGTCTTCACTATCCGCAGCGACCCCTCGGGCTTGGAGTCCCCGAAGAGCGTGGAGGATATGCACAAGTATTCCAAGTCCAAAGGCGGACTTCACTTTTTTTGTTCGATGGGGCGATGTGCTTTTTTTTTTTTCGCGGCCCGGTACGCTTCTTGAAGTTGGTTTAAAGTGGAACCCACAGGAAATCAACAACTGGGAAAATGTGCCAATGTTCGCCTTTGCATTCTTCCACGGAATTGCAGCTATTGCGCCCATTCTTGCTGCGTGCTTTTGGGTTGTTTTTTCTTGATATGTTTGGCCAAAGGTGTTTGGCCTTGTCCCCATGGCCGTGTTTCAGCTGTGCGACAAGCAAGCCGCCGAACATCGCGTCCACACTTCGGGCCTTAAATCCGCAACTCGTTTTGAGACACGAATCGTATCCTTCCTGGGCCTTTCAGAGAAGCCAAGCCAGGAGCTTGGTATAGGGCCGGACTGATTGCTCCGAACCCAGGGGTTGAAATCCTATGAGTGGAAGGGGGCACTTTTTTTTTCTCGGCTGGTGTACTGTGAGCGGTTTCCTTGCATTGGGTTTGTCGGGAGCCCCCAAAACCAGATTTCCACCTTCAGGTATCCCTGATTTCCACCCGGGAGAAGAGGGGTCAAGCAACTTCAGAAACGTTCCTGGCCGGGATCCCACGCAAAACCATGCAAGCCTTAGTTGGTGGTTTGGATGCTTGATTTCGACTTGTGGCTTGGGGACTTGAACCCCTGCTTCTTGTAGAGGGAGATGGGGAACCACCACCTCCAAACCACCAGGTTCCGCACCAGGCGTTATTAACCCCTAAGTGGTGGTTTGGATTGGTGGGTTGGGGGTTGAACCCCGCTTCCTTTTGAATCTAAATGGGAAGGATACCCCTTGCCAAACCAAAGCATAAGGTACGGCTGAAATCAAGCCTTGCCGTTTTGGGGGAGGGGGGGGGTCCCAAAAGTTCCTCTTGTCCAGGGTCATTGGTTTCAATTGGATATAAGTCGGGTGCCTTTAATCTTGCGGACCAAAACGCGCTTCCTGAGTGGAACTGCAGCCCCCCAAACGTGTGCTCAGGAGCGTGGGCGGTGAGCAATAAGGAGACATAAAAATGCCTTCGTTGGCCTTGTTTGGCTATTGCTTGTTTGCTGCCAATTCATGAAATTGGGGCAGGAACGCCTCGCACCCACCATAGTGTGCAAGTCAGGTTACCCTTTAGATTTGGATTTGGGGATTCGAACCCCTGTAGAGAATGGGGTTCAGAACACCTCCAAAGTGCCGGGCTCACCTTCAAGCCACCAATCTTAACTTCCAAACCAGCGGGAAGCTGGGCTCACGCGGGAGCGGGTCACTCACTTCATGAGTTCCTAGACTTTGTGTTTCGGGCGTGGGCCATTTTTAGCCAACCAGTTTGAACGACTCTCTTGGCCAATCCACTCAGGAAGTCAGACAGAACTTGGGTTTCTCCGCAAGTTGTTGTTGTTGTTGTTGTTGTTGTTGTTGTTGTTGTTGTTGTTGTTGTTGTTGTTGTTGTTGCTGCTGCTGCTGCTGCTTGCTTGCTTGCTTGCTTGCTTGCTTGTTTGTTTGTTTGTTTGTTTGCTTAAGGAAAAAAGAAGGAAACACCTGGAAAGCAAAAAACCTCCGCTCGATCGGGGGGGGGTCCGTTCAGGGAAGACCTGCCTTCCGCGGCTCCTGCCTTGCCGGAAGCCGCCGGTCATCGAGGATGCTGTGCCGCGCGGCTTCCGACCTAGCGACCTCGCGGCTCCCGTTCGCAGCTTCCGGTCGCCCGGTTTTGGCCATGTGCGTCTGGAGGTGTTTGTAGATGTTCCCCTCTTAGTTCCAAACAACACCTATTCTGGAAATATGTTTTTTTTTTGGGGGGGGCTGACGAAACACAAAGAAAAGGCGAATGGAGGGCTTGAACTTCAGATTCAGCGCAGGTCCGTGTTCGGGTGATCCTTGCTCTGGCCCTTCTTTGGGGTTGTTTTACCTGGGAGGGTTGGCTGAATATTCAAGTAATCCTAAATTCGTGGTTTGGAGTTGTGGTTTGGGGATTTGAACCTCTGGTTTTGGTAGCCACCGGATCCAACAAACCAGACTAAACATGACAAAGATTGGTCAAGCTTGAGCCGCCCAGGTTTGATCCATGTCATGTTGTCTCGTGAAGCTTCCTTTGACACATTGATTTTTGTTGGGGGGAGGGGGTCTAAAAGGTGAACCAGTTTCTACTGATGTCTTTTTGTTTGCGTTAAGAAATTTGAACTTGTTTTTCTAATGTCTAATGTTTCTTGTTGTGGCTTTTCTTGGGGAGAGGGTCCAAAAAGGCGAACTGGCCTCGAATAGGTGAACCTTTGTTCTGCTTGCTCGTTTTGCCCGTTTTCTTTTTTGAGAGTCCAGAGGGATAGCCTTTTTCTCGTGGGCCTTTTGGAGGAGCGGGGGAGAAAAGGCGCCTCTGGCAACCTGAGGTCCCAGGGTCCAAACGTGTTTCCGTTAATTTGGTCAAGGACTATGTCCAAAGCCATCTACCCAGGGTTTTCATGAGATATCTTCCCTTCATATTTGGGTGTGCCTTAAATTAGGGAACCCCAAACAGCGTCAATAGTGAGTTTTAGTTTTTAAGGGACCATTTTTGGTTCGGTACCTTTAAAAGGGCCACCCCAAAAGGCACCATCATTCCAGAAAGGGCCCCCCCAAAAAAAACACACACACACGCACACACCCTTTGTGGTTTCCTTGAAAATTAAAGGACCGGATAACCCCACATGCTATGTTTTTCCCAAGGATGTGAGTTCAAATGTCCACACACATGTACCGTGCGCCCCTTGTATGGATGCGATTACAGAGCAGGTCCAGCGCGCTTTTTTCATCGCAGGCGTTGCTAACCTACTGCAGCCCGAGCCGCTAATCAACAAAACAAAGCAAGTTCGAGACATTCTCGAACTTAGTCCATCTTGTTAGATTATTGGCTGCGCCGCAAAACGCACACCCAGATGCACAGAATGCTGCGCCTGCCCTGCCACACAAACACACACCCAGATGCACAGAATGCTGCGCCTGCCACGACTTCGGCAATGGCATCTCCACACCCAGATGCACAGAATGCAGCGCCTGCCACGACAGAGGCAACGGCATCGCCAAAGTGCTGCGCCTGCCACGATTTCGCACGCCCCCCGCCGCGCGCGCGACAACATCCTGTCCCTCTAGACAGCTGCCGAATGCGACCCCTGCCACACAAACACACACCCAGATGCACAGAATGCTGCGCCTGCCACGACTTCGGCAACGGCATCGCCAAAGTGCTGCGCCTGCCACGATTTCGCACACCCCCCGCCGCGCGCGCGCCAACATCCTGTCCCTCTAGACAGCTGCCGAATGCTACCCCTGCCACACAAACACACACCCAGATGCACAGAATGCTGCGCCTGCCACGACTTCGGCAACGGCATCGCCAAAGTGCTGCGCCTGCCACGATTTCGCACACCCCCCGCCGCGCGCGCGCCAACATCCTGTCCCTCTAGACAGCTGCCGAATGCTACCCCTGCCACACAAACACACACCCAGATGCACAGAATGCTGCGCCTGCCACGACTTCGGCAACGGCATCGCCAAAGTGCTGCGCCTGCCACGATTTCGCACACCCCCCGCCGCGCGCGCGCAACATCCTGTCCCTCTAGACAGCTGCACACCCAGATGCACAGAATGCTGCGCCTGCCACGACTTCGGCAACGGCATCGCCAAAGTGCTGCGCCTGCCACGATTTCGCACACCCCCCGCCGCGCGCGCGACAACATCCTGTCCCTCTAGACAGCTGCCGAATGCGACCCCTGCCACACAAACACACACCCAGATGCACAGAATGCTGCGCCTGCCTGCCACGACTTCGGCAACGGCATCGCCAAAGTGCTGCGCCTGCCACGATTTCGCACGCCCCCCGCCGCGCGCGCGACAACATCCTGTCCCTCTAGACAGCTGCCGAATGCGACCCCTGCCACACAAACACACACCCAGATGCACAGAATGCTGCGCCTGCCACGACTTCGGCAACGGCATCGCCAAAGTGCTGCGCCTGCCACGATTTCGCAACGGCATCGCCAAAGTGCTGCGCCTGCCACGATTTCGCACGCCCCCCGCCGCGCGCGCGACAACATCCTGTCCCTCTAGACAGCTGCCGAATGCGCCACACAAACACACACCCAGATGCACAACTGCCACGACTTCGGCAACGGCATCCAAAGTGCTGCGCCTGCCACGATTTCGCACACCCCCCGCCGCGCGCGCGACAACATCCTGTCCCTCTAGACAGCTGCCGTGAGTCAGCGAGTGTGAGTGAGTGAGTGAGCGAGTGAGTGAGTGAGTGAGTGAATGAGAGTGAGTGAGATGAGTGAGTGTGAGTGAGTGAGTGTGAGTGAGTGAGTGTGAGTGAGTGAGTGTGAGTGAGTGAGTGAGTGTGAGTGAGTGTGAGTGAGTGAGTGTGAGTGAGTGTGAGTGAGTGAGTGAGAGTGAGTGAGTGTGAGTGAGTGTGAGTGTGAGTGAGTGAGTGAGTGAGTGTGAGTGAGATGATGAGGAGGGAGGGCGGGAGGAGGAGGAGAAGGAGACGCGGCGCGCGGACGACGAGCGGTAAAAGTAAGAACCCCACACAAAGATGTGGGGAAAAAGAAAAAAAGCACTCGAAAAAACACCCGGGCCCGGACCCCCCCCCTTTCCCCAAAACGACGCACCTCGGCCGCGCCGAGGTTCGTGGTGCAGCCTTCGCCCATGGGCCGGCGGAACCCCATCCCTGCCGGGGAGCGAGGCGCCGGGCCCTCCGGGCCCTCCGGGTCCAACAAGTTGACGCGTTGACACGTTGAGGTCTAGTGGCGAAAAGAGCAGTCCATTTGCCTGAAATGAATCTTTGTTATTTTCCCTTGTTGGTTTTAAAAGGAACTCATCACTACTGGAAATATATATTTTTTCCAGGGGGCTTACCAAATGGAAGCTGATGTCGAGCCCAAATGAATCAACCAGTTTATTGGGGGGGTGGGGGCCCCGCCCATAGTGGTCTGATTCCCACTAAACCCAGGTTGACACCCCCCTATAAATCAACTCAGCTTGAGGAATATGGGGTTAACATTACGCACCGCATCTTCTCTTTTGCTTGGGTTTAAGAAAACCCCGTGGTGCGGTGAGTCTTGTGATCTTTGAAGACGAAGTGGCTTTATTCATCAAAACGATAGGTCTAGATCTGGGAGGGTCAGGTCAGTGAGGCTTTCCATGAGATGTTCTGAGATGTTTTGATTGCCATCAAAACCTTTGTGGCTCGGTTGCGGCGAGTCTTGTGATGTTTGAGGGGGAAGTATCTTTGTGCCTAGTTGCTTGGATCTTCGGACTTTAGCTTTCTGGTTGAAACCGTGGACATTTTCCATTGGACCGGACAAAACAACTGTTGGCAGAGGGGTCAACTGTAACCAAGATGGTTGTAACCATGGTTGCAATGTCGACTTTTGATTAATCTAATAAGGACATTATGTATTTTAGGGCTGATTAGAAGGATCCTCCACCAGATTAATCCGAAGATGACATTCAGTGAGACAAACTTAGGTTGGCATATAATGGATCGCTCAAAGAAGTTGGTCTCCTTTTGGTCTCCTGGTAAGCCATTTAAAAAGGGGTACCCTCAAAACGACACACCCGTAGACTTGGATGTTCAACTGTTCACGCTGCTTAAGTGGGCCATAAATAGTGTTGTAATTTAAGTGAGGCAACGCCAGTTCACATAAAGAAGAGGGATATGAACCAGTTGCTACTAGCCTCCCAACAGCCAAACAGAAGAACACCCCTTTTTCAGACTCCATGTTTGTTCTTGGGAGGGTAGTAGTTAGACTATGACCATGGCGGGTTTGTCTCACTTACCAAGTGGGTTGTATATGCGTTTTCGGGCCCAAACCAATCATTTTGGGGGTTCCCCTATTTTGACCTGTTCTTATAGTTCACTTTCAATGTTAACTTCGGATGAATCCGGAGCACCGTGCTAATCAGGAGAGGTTCCCCTTTTAGTGGGGAATCCATTCATTTAAGGCGGGTTCCTCGGATTAGATGGCCCTCTCGATTTATCCGAACATTAAGATCAAGCCACATCCACCATCACTGGTTGTTTCATTTCCTTGTTTGTTTCAAGGAGGAATCAGGGAGCCCTGTAGAAAACAATTCAACCGGTATCTTTTTCAGGGCTCTTGAAACGATTCCATTTGGCAAGCTACAGCGCCTGTGTCCAGCAGGGGGAAACAAGTCTTTCGGTGACCTTGCTGGTCATTCAAAGTTAGATTTTACTCTTCTTGGTACCCCTTTGTTAAAGGGGGGGGAGGACCCGTTTGGAAGACTTGGTTCCGGCCTTCTGGGAGCTTCCATGTTAGTCTGAGGGAGTGTATACCCAGGGGTAGGTGGTTGGGTACCCAAGTGTCTGATCTTCCGACAACGCACGGCGCGAGGCTGGATTTATTTCGAGCGCCTTGTCTCCACAATCCGCGTTGCTCTCACGGACGAGCAGTACGCCGCCTCGAGCTCAGCTGGTGACTTTCATGCGGGCATGGGTCAACGCCAGATCATCCCTCCGCGCATGTCGCACGGAAAAAAATGTATGCTTCGGTTTAGTTCATTGTTTCTCTACTGGTTTGCCTTTGCCTCTAACGCGTGTTTCAACTTGAGGCCTAAGCCATGCTTGCAGTTGAGCGGAGGCCCTTGGCTCAAATAGCTCATTGGTTTGTCTCCACATTAGGGGCCCTCTTCGGGGACGCCCAGCCAGCATTCTGTGGGTGCGTCTCTCATTTGGCTCTGGTCGGACCAGCGGCTCAGGTTGAGTGGTGCCTTGCCAGCTGGTGGAACAACCCCCCCCACACCCATCCTTTTTTCAGGGTATGATAGGGTATGAATGCAATCCTTGACTAAAAGGAAGGTATTTGCCCCGGAAAAGCTAGAGGGTCCATGTAGTATGTGGCGATGAATCTTCGTGGTACATGCCTCATTCCGAATTTTAATAAGGGAGTCACATGAATCATTCTAGGCAAAACGGGGTTGAAGTCCCACAGGCAGAATACAGAGTGACATTCAAGATTGTTAAGTTGACAGCATCGCGGAATGCGTCCCTGGACCCTCAAACTACTCATAAACACGGGAACTCACCCCACATTTCTGGGGCAATAACTATTTCTGAGTTGGAAGTTTGAGGGTCCAGGTATCTTGGCACCTTAAAACATGAGTCGTCATTTTGAGGATTGTGATTGCCCTGGCTTGGTACCAGAAAAAGAGCTGAAGCTTGAGGCCCGCACGGTCTATGCCAACGTGCCAGACTTGAAGGAGCCACTTGGCCAGCCATCCGAAGTCAGGGCTTGGAGTCTAGCAGATAAATTCGCGAAACACGACTGACACGTTTTTTTTTTTTTGGGGGGGGGGAACCCCAATTTCACCCACACAAACACCCACACACACACAAACACCCACCCACCCCCTTTTGGTTGGTTTGGAAAGGAGCCCGAGAGGAAAACCGAAGGAAACCAGGTGAACCAGGTGAGAAGCGATGGACCAGAGATCCGGGTGTTTGTTCGGCCTTGGGGTTGTGGGAGACCCAAGAACCGAGATCGATGGGGGTGGTCCCATCCTGATGAAACCACAGGATGGGGCCATTCGCAGTGATGGGAAACCAATTTTTGGTGGAATCATCATATCATTCCGTTGGCTTTCTGCATGCTGCGATTTCTGGATTTCGTCCATCCATCCGCACCAAACCTTTTCTAGCCAGACACGAGCTAGCGTTTGGCATGTCCCAAAATTTCAGATTCAGACCATTGCACGGAATGTACGGATCTTCACTCGCATGGCATCATGGCAACTGGACGAGTGCGCTAACTCCGGTGGCAAATGCTGGGAATTTGAATTGGCGGCGTTTCTCAGAAGCGAACAGACGGCAGAGAGGCAGACCCTGACATGCAGCGAGCAAACATCCTGTTGGTTGCAGCCAGTCCCTTTTGCACTTATACGTACCTTTCGACCTTTTAGTCTAGCCATGTTGGTCCAAGTTTAGTTTGGCACCACAAGGTCAACCTTTCATTTCGGTGTCCTTTAGGCAACTCAGGTTATGTAAGAATGGATCGCGGCTGATCCCGCAGCGCTAAAATGTGGGGGCAAACCCCACAAATCTGCCAATGAAGCAGGTCCCTGAGCAATTTGCTGGATTTTTAGTCACTGGATCCCTTCCCGAGGAACAGCCCAGCCCGCGCGGTAGGTCAATCCTTGTGCGGGCCAAGACGCTGCGAAAGTGCGCAGCAAGCAGCAACTCGGAGCTGCAGGAGCCTTTGATGCAAGCCAAGCCTTCAGTAGGAACCTGGTTTGTCGACACCGCACGGGTGCGGACGGTAAAAGGATAATCATAAGTTGGACACTTGCCCCCCCCCCAAAAAAAAATGACAGAGCCAGAACTGGGCAAGCTTGTCTTCTTGGGCACCCTGGTGGTGGGCAATCCTTTGCAATAAGGAGAGACTTTGGTACTATTTAGAGGGTATAAACTAACACGGCCCCCCGGAGGGCTTTGTAAGGAGACCTTCGAGAAATATATCGCAGAGATCCGCGAAAAGACCTTCTCCGCGACCTCCATCGACAAGAAAGCCGCCTCAGCCAAGACCAAGCTGACGGCGCCTCGACGGTTCGATCGGACGTCGGATGGGGCGAAATCAGAAATCGGACGTCCCACCGATGTGGCTCGTGTTGAGGCGAAGGCTCAAAACCCGGTGGGCTGGTTAGGGAAACTCAACTCTCAATCGGAACTATCATGATCAAAGAGTCCAGAGTCCTTGCTTCACTAGCATGTGTTATGAACAAACCTACATCCCCTCAAAAGGAGGCTCAAGGGCTCAAGGGTTTTGGGATCAGGTTGTCCCCTGAATTTAAGCGTCACCTCTTGGTTGCTCCGTTTTTTGGGGTGATGTTCAACGGGGAATGCCTCCTGAGCAATCCCAACTCTCGCGAGGATGTGGACTTGGTCTTTGCATTGCTGACGCGCCTGCGGCAGCGGGTATCTCTGGCCCTGGCCATGACGGTAAGGAACCTGAGCCTAAAGGAGCATTGTGCTGGAAAAGACAAAAGTGGGGGCGTTGTATTGCAGACAATCAGGGTCTATTTTGCGGCCAGCTTGTTCTGGGAATGGGTTGTAAGCGTTCATGGCATGATGGGGGGGGGGGGGGCTGAGCATGTCAAGGAAGGCGGAAGGAAACTCCACTGGAGCATGGTTGCTGGAAATGGGGTTTCATCAAAGGCTGAACGTACTACCTCCATTATATGAATGCCTGGTATGAGCCCAGGTTTACCAATGAACTATGCCTGATTGTCGCCTTCAAGGAAATGCAGCCCCCAGTTTTAATCCAACATGGCCATGGTCTCATTGAGGGGCCTGTGCAGCCGAATGGATTGGTATGAGCGACCCAGGGGGCCCCCCTAAGCCAGAAGCCGGTCAAGGGGTGCCTCGTCAAAAAGAAAAACCAAAAAGACAAGGTCGTAAGCCGTTGCTTGCCCTCAGGGTGATCCGGTTAGTAACTTTAAAGGTTACAAGAGGGTCAATTGGGGGTTCGCTGGGGCTGACTGGGGGCGAATCACTTCCTCGAAATGTTTTCCAGGCTATGCTCAAGGAAGCGCGTACCCTCGCGCCCACTAACAGGGAGCCCTCTTGGATAATATCTTCTTGGACACGTCCAGTCAGGCGGCATGGCAATGTGCATGCTGGTAAACCTCGGAAGACTGCCGGTGTAGTGGCAGTATCCCCAGTGAAGCAGCCCCCATCCAGTGAGATGTACATGCAAACCTACGAAAAGCCCATGAAATGGGGGGGGGCTGGTTAGCCAGAGACATTGGGGGGGCACCACGCAAGCGAGAGGAACCCAAGCAAGCCACCATAGTAAGTTGTTGGCTGAATTTTACTTTGAAGTCAGCTCATGAAGGGGTCCCTGGATTTGGTGATTGCCCCAAAATTCTGGGTAGTAAAAAGTCCGGGTTTTTATGTCTGAGGGTCCAGGTAATATGTCAGGTAATAAGTGAGGTCATCCAATTTTGAGAAGGGTTGACCATGCCCTGCAGGAGTGCAAGGAGTTGCTGGGTGGGAAGCTAGGCGAAATGGCACCAACTTCTCACTCGCTGAGTTCCTGGAGAATGGGCCACACACGTTCCATTGGCAATCACGCGCCTACAACTTGGCAGGTGAACCCTCATTCGCCTCATTTTCTGGGCCAACTTCATTTCGGGAAACCTTTGGTGAGAGGGAAGCCAACCAGAAACCAAGCTTTTGTGGGTGCCCCATTTTTGGGGCTCAACATAGCTGATCGAACTGACTAAGCTGCGCAAACATATTTGCGTGAGTATTTGTCATGGTACCTGACAGGGACCCGGCCCCTCCAAGAGAAAAATGATCTTTCAGGCCCTTCCCATTTCTTATATATCATCCAACATGTAAACCCAGAGGCAAGCACAAACTGGGCCTGTGCTTTGCTGATGGTGCCCTTTTCAGTTTGGTTGCAACTAAAACCAAAAGAACAAACACCATGTTGAAACCTCTATTTTTTACATACCCAACTGGTTCTCTACAACAGGTGCAACTGGAAGGGCTTGGGGCTTCCCTTTGATTTGCCACACATCGTTCTATACTCGTGTTGCACCCACATGCATTTGGTCGCGCCTGCTGCAACTCCGTGTTCCACTGCGAAAATCTTACTACGCGCAATCAACGTCTACACCCGCTACAACTTAAACATGGACCGAACGACAGGAGGAACTCCCCAAAAGAAGATTCCTGCGATGGATCTTGGGCTGCATGTTGACCTGCGGGAGCGTTTTGATTCGCGAATTTGCGGGGTGCTCACGGTTCGCATGTATGCGGGCTTCTCCCACCCTGGTTTCGCAAGCTTTGGCTTTGGCGTGTTTTTGGAGGGTGCCTCCTTTCAGGTTGGTTCAAAGGGAAGCCAAATGGAACACCGAAATCCACGGTGCAAATCCCGAGCCATACCCGGACCCTCCAAATTCCAACTTAAAACTGGTTTATTGCCCCAAAGGTTTTTGGGGTGAATTCCCTTTTTTGTGGGTCCAACTGTTCGTTTTGAACTCTGACGGGCTTTGAGGAAGGCGGACCTGTCCATCCAAGATGGTCGGGGGTACACCGCGCTGCACAATGCCGCGAGGCGTCCGCCTTGCATCGAGGGATGTGATGGGGTGATGCGCGGCGTCGAAAACTGACAAGAAGAAGCGCCCTTTCTCCAGGGGTTGATTCCCCATCCTTTTCAACCATCGTTCTTTTCAAACACCGGCTGCTTCCCCCGGGTTTTTGTTTGCTGGTTTCCTGAAAAGCTTTTCAGGATCCCTGGAAAGAGTGGGGAAGGTATAGACTTTCAGCTTCTTGGAACTCAAGACGCTGGGCCCCTGGTGTCCAACACCCCCAACTGCCCCCCTTCAGGTGCGTTAAAGCATTACATCCGAAAGCTCCCGGCCATGTTGGTTGCAAAAGGGGTTCCCCATGCCAAGTGCCAAGGAATTGGACCCCATGTTCCGCTGGATTTTGTCGCAGTCTCACGGGATTTTGGTGGAGGCTTTTTTCCATGGGCATTTGTGGCATTCCCGCTGCTTCCAGCTGACCTCCACTCCTCTGGCCTCCGACGTCAGCCTTCCGAGCGGCTCGTCGGTCAGGTGGCGGAACCCGGAGGTCGTCAGCTTCCTGGTGGACGCGGGCGCTTCCCGAGGACGCGGAAAGCTTGCGGCTTGCGGCTGGCGACGCGTCGCGCGGGGATCCGAAGGCTTACAGGAGGTCAGTGGCCAGAGTACTGTTTGCCGCAGGTGAATAAGCCCCGTTTATGAATATGGGGGAGTGCCTGGTTTTAGTTGGGATTTGTTGCTTTTGGAGTGGAACACCCCCACATGAATAAGCATAGGTTTTTGAATCCGGGGTCAATATTGTGGGATTTGGGGTTGGGAGGCAAGTTCCCTCTACATGGTTCGGATTTGTGGTTAAGTGTTCTGGGGATGTTTCCCCACTTGCCCTAAGAAAAAGAACCAGCAATCCAAGCCACGAGCTGTTCTCAGCTTCCCTTCAATTGGTGGTTTGGATTGGTGGTTTGGAAGATAGGGGTGGTTTCCCATTGTGGGGCAAAACCGTTTTGGATCCCATTTTGGGGTAGGTGAACTCACCACCCATTTTCTATGGGGATTGAGTCTCGGATGTTCACTGGGGGCTAACCGATTTGGATTTTGGCCCATGGCCATTTACCAGATCGCCTTCGCGCCGCAAGCTCGGAGCTTGGGCGTAGATCAAGGGTTTCATTTGACCAAGGCGCCCCTGTCCTGTGATCATTTCTTCTTAAAATGCGTAAAGTGCCCCACAACTAGTTCCCAAAGAATTTTAGGCCCCCGCCCCATCACGATTTCCTAAGGAATTTTAGGCCCTTACCGGGGCCCTTGTGGAATGGATTTTCGGTCAGGCGCCCATGTATGTTTCGGGGCAGGAAGTCGGGACCGACTTGGGAACACCGCGGCCCATGTGATTCCGCTCTATGCGGATGACATCACCCTTCAGTTGGCGGAGGTCCTTGCAGGAGACAAGGCCTACCTCAAGAAAAAGAGCCCTGGACAGTATGAGGGGTCTTTTGGCTTTGTCTTTTCTTGAGGCGTCCCCTTTTTGGATTTTTTACTTTGGGAAATCCAACGGAAACGCGAACTTGAGAGTCTACAATTTTCAGGAGACACACCTTATATCGGTGTTTCTCAAAGTTAAGGACCCCGCAAAAAACGGGTGGTTTCCTTTTCAGGTGTGGGTTTCGGAGGCAATGCTTAAATACCAGCAAGATAAGCTTGTAAGGCAGAGATTATGACGCTCTTTTATGAGTGGTGGAAAAACCCTCCATAGCTCCAAAGCTCCGAAGGCTGAAAATTTGACCCCTCGAGTTGAGATGCATTCCAACTGCAACTGGGGGGTCCATAGCCTATGCCGGAGACACCGCGCGGGTTCTTTAAGGATTCGCGAGCTGTTGTTGTTTTGAGATGCGGTTGGACGGTCACTATAGAGGCAACACTCCCGTTGTCTTCCAAATTGTCCAACTGTTTTCACGGCTCGTGCTAGAGATACGGTTGCCTTGGCTCATCCTTTTTCCATGGTCAGAGGCCCTACGAACCACCCCTCAAAGACCCATTTGTGCAGGTCTTATGTTGGCCTTGTTGGCCCTAATGCACCTTTCAGGCCTAACCAGTTGAGTGATCTTGGGCGGGGAGGGGGGTCTGCAGGGTCCCTCACGCAGCAAAGACCTAGAACACCTGGCTGAAATAAAATCCACTCCCCTGTGTGTGTCGGAAGGGTCATAGCTGTGCGCACACGTGCGGGCTAAGGAACAAAGTGCCTTGGAAGCATTTTGCGAGCCCAAATGGCCGTGGGTCAACACCAATGGTACTATTTTGGGGGTAGGTGAATTCACCACCCAGTTTAGAACCTATTTTAGTGGGGGTTGGGATGTTTTCCCTGGGGGCTAACCGGGGTTTTGACCCATAGCCAAATCTCGCCGAACCCGAAGCTTGCTTGCAGACCGTTTCTTAAGGCAAAGGCGCCCCTTTGGTCCGGTGAAAAGGCAGCTCTTGAAGTTGCCAAAAAGTTGTACCATTTTTCCCCAGATAGCTGAAAGCTAACGGGCGTCTGACTTCTAATGCAGAGGAGAAGTGATTTGCGAGATGAAGGACGGTCCTCGGGGGGCATGCAGTCTGGTCATGGTGCTTCTCCGCGCAATCCTAGATATTCTGATTGGTGTGCTCGGCGCCAAGTTAAACCAAGCGCCGGTGGCTGAGGCGGGGCTTCAAGTCCTGAGTCGGCTGGAGGCGGAGCGGCTCTGGCGTGGGTCGGGTTGCGATGCCACCTAGGGCCATTTTTTGCCTGGTTTTGAAGGGGAAGTCAGCAGGAAGGAGGCTGTTGTGGTGGGTTTGGCATGCCTACTCAGGTGAGCACCGCCCAAAACTGGTTCGCTTCCTACTTGAACCCGGGAGTCGGCGGATTTTGCTCTGTGATCAAGTGCCCTTGTTTGTCAATTTGGTTGCTGTCGGCGTCCGTTTCATTCTATAGAGCCATATCAATATATACGAAATCATATGCTAGTGGAATGACTATTTGTTTCCAGAAGGATGCGATTGAGCAATGTCAAGCCCGAGTTTCCTTTGAAGGATCACTTGTTCGGTTCCCTGGAAAGTTTCCCTTTGTGAAACCATGAAGTCTAGGGCTAGGGGGTCGGTTCTGCCCTTCCATTATCCAAGCTTCGTGTCTTGCGGCACACATGCCACCCTTACAATTGCAGAGGTTTCCCCAACCCCCAGTTCGTGCGTTCCCTGGAATTTCGACCGCCCGCCCTGTTTCCTCAAGCGAATTGACCTGATACATGAGCTGCTCTCTCCGGTTTTTCATTCGGGTCCCACAAACTGATCACATGTGACTTTCAGATCCTTTGGCATCCCCCTCTTGGAGCCCTGGAGCGCCAGGTTGTCCATGATGCTGCTAAAGCTGTAGGGTTGTCGTTTCGGTATACGCTGTAGGGTTGTTGTTGTTTTCAGGGGGGCCCTGCGCCCATCCGGGCACCCCAAACAAAAGCCCTGGGGCCCCGTGGAGGTGTGGGGTTTGACGGCGGTGAACGGCCGGGAGTTCAAGCCAGCCATCGACTGGATCAGATCGAGGCTTTGAGCGCAGACAGGCCCAAGGAACGACCCAAGGAAAAGCCCGGGAGGTATCGGGAGGTCTTTTAAGGTCCAGTACGGCTTGGGGTTACTTCGTCTTCCCCAAGAAAGGTGCGGTTGCGCCCCTTCTGCACTTTCAATGTTGTTTGTTGCATGTTTGTTGGCGCTTCGCCAGTTCGGGGGCATGGCGACAGCTGATTCCCCCAATCAAGTTCATGCCGCTTTTTGGGAAGCAAGTCATTTCAGGGCCTCCCCCAAAGCGTCAGGGTTTGGGTTGCTCTCCCTTGGGATTTATGGGGGTGTTGCTTCCTGGATCTGCAGGTGAGATTTACCTGGTCAGCTGCGTCTCAAAAAGGCACACATCATGTCCGGTCCTAACCCACCCTTAAGCGTTGAAGCCTTATTCCAAGGCCTCTTTAGCCCTTTTGGGGCATTGGGGGGGCGGCCTTTGGGCATAGGGCTCAGCATTAAAATTCAAAAGAAGTAAAAAGCGGCACGAGCACATCAAATTGCCCAGGAAGAAAGATCAACACCCCGATCTCTGCAACGACAACGCGAAGTCCACCAGCGCCGCGGACGGGCGGGGTAGTTGTCTGTGGTTTGCGGGCGGTGGCTTGGCAGTGGTTTGGGCGTAGTTGTCTAGTGGTTTGGGACCATGGGGGCAGTGGTTTGCGGCTAGTTTTTGAGTAGGCGAGTGGTTGGAAGGGCCTGGTTTTTGAATTTCATATAAAAGGGAGATACAAATCCCCACTAAAACCAGGTTAACACCCCCATATTTAGCAAGCAGAGATACAAATCCCCCTTAAAACCAGGTTGACCCCCCCCCCCCTCCAAGAGAGATACATCCCTTAAAACCAGGGCATATTTTCGTAAACCTGGGGTCAACCAAAAAAGAAACGCGGAGACCCATCCAGCAGCCGAGGTGCCCGGAAGTTCGGGCGCTTCCAGGTGCACTGCTCCACCGTGACCTTGCTGGTGGGCCAGGAGGCGCTCGCTTCATTCTCGGGCGGGCGGGAAAGCTCGTTCCTTGGGGGCTTCAAAATGCAGGGGACCCGGTTGGACCAGGTACCCCCCCCCAAACAAAAACAAAAAGCATACTCTTTTTTTTGAAGAGACACAACAATCAAACAAGAAAGGCAAAAGACACGCAAGAACTGATAGAGGAAGTCAGAATAGCTCCCCCCTCCCTCCAAGAAAAAAAAGGAAAACAGAAATATAGAAACACTGATAGATAAAGTCGAAGTAGTTCAACATCAAAAACACAAAAGTGAGAGGCTGATAATTCTTATCAGGGCAGAGGGCCAAAATATGGCCTTCCTGGTTCACTTCCATTTGAGGCGTGTTGGCCTCGAAAGGGCGAAGTAGTAGCCCAATTCATCAAACAACATGGAGCCGTGGTCCCTTTGTTAAATGGGCCCTGTGAGTCTTCATGGAGAAGGAATCAAAGAAGATCACGGGTGGTTTTCGGTGGGTATGTCTTCATGCTCGGGCCTCCAAATTCACCCGAAATCAAATCAAGTCTCAAAATAGGGGTACCCCCCCCAAATAAAAAACAAACACACAGTTATTTCCCTTTGGTTCCCCTCAAAAGCACCCGAAAAGGGTACTATCAAGAAAGACACCTTTGCTTGAACGTATTTTTTCATGAACAACACATGTGGTGTGTCTTGTTTTGAAGCACATGGGGAAGAATCTTCAAAATGAAAAACCTGGGCTTTTGTGTGTACTCACCCCTGAACCCCTGAACCAGCGAAAAAGAATTGAACAAAGATGATGCGTTGCTTGCTTTAGTCATTACATTTTTTGTTTTTTACCTCCCAACCCGGCCCAAGAAATAAAATCTCTCCCCCCCCCCAAGGTCCCACGTCCCACGTCCGAAACGTGGCACCTATGAGGAGCGCCCGGTTCGCGTCGTGGAGCCTTGCTTCGAGCCTGTGGCCCACTTACTGTACCTGGGCTTTCCTCGGTTCATCCCCTGGCAGCTGCAGGACTTCCATCATGGAACTGGGCTTCAATTTTTTTTGGTGGGGGGAGTTCCCGTTTCAACAGGCCTTTTTGGGTGGTTTTAGACATCACCTTCTTGGCCCATGAAAGGTGAGTGTTTCTTGTTGAGGGTGATGTTTTAAGGGGAAATATAGGGAGCCCTGTTAAACTGCTCCAAAAAGGGTGCCATCAAACAAAGACGGGGTTTTTGGGATAGAAATCGATGGGTTCTGGTTTAAATGGGATTTGCAAATCCGTCGATTTGCCAACAGCTCACAAGGGCTCAAAGGTCCGCAGGGTTGTGCCACACTCCCGATCGAGTTCCGTTTCGGACTTTGGTCACGTTTTGGGTCCGGACCAACGTGGTGGTAAGCAAGCAGTTGGGACTTGTTTGGCCCATCCGCTCAGGATGTGAGTCAACGGTCCCTTTACTTCACATGGGTGTGGTTTCTTGGGTTCCAACACTTGGGTGGATTGAAATATCAGCTTTGGGTTGCCAGTTCAATGTGAGTTTCCTTGTCCTGGTTTCGGGTTTCGCGCTCATCGTTTCAGGGTTGCAAAGCCAGCGGACACCCTTGATGTAGGTCCTTTACTTGGATCCCGTTTTGCAGATGTTGGAATTGTTGTGAGAGTTGCACATCTGGGCTTGAACATAGAGAGAGAAAATCCCAACTGGGACTTGTGACAGGCAAAGGCATTCAGGAAGAGAGGCCGAAAGAGAACGCAGCACTCAGCAGTGCTTCGCGCGAAAGCTTTCGCAAATCTCTCTTGCAGGCAAGCCCGGACTTCGGATAAGTCCCTTGACATCACCCCAAAAGACCGAAATGGCGATGTTGAAAACAGCCCTGAAGCAAGGGGAATAGAGTTGGAACCCTGGTGCGAGGCTGCTTGGGGCGGGCTGGAAAAAGAGCCCCAAACACTTCAGGCTTTCCCAGAAATATGGAGAGACCGGGCTTGCCATCAATCACATACTGATTCAGAGCCATAGCAAGCGGAGCCATTGCAGCAAAATAGCGACATAGTGACTCTTGGGGGCTACTAGGCTGGAGACTGGGACCCTCCCCGCCGATTCCCCTTCAGGTGCCAGGAGAATACTGACATCGGTGTTTGCCCCCCAAGGTTCTCCCTCTTCCCCCTTTCGGTTATTCACACCTGTTGGTTGCCATCTTGTGTCTCAGTGGTTCCTAGCCATCCCCTGAGCTTTTTAGCTTTTTAGCGCGCGGGGATGTCCATTTAACCTGCGACAAATTAAGCTTTTGGCGGGGGATCTGAGGGCTTCCATGAAAAAACTGGGCGCTCCTGGCTCCCGGACTCCGCCGCCCCCATGTCCCATCTCGCCGCGAGGAGCCGATTTTGCGATCCTGGGCTGAAACGGAAGGATTCAAGATCTGGGGCATTAGCGAGGACTCGGCGACCCGGCTAGGGCCTAGATTATTGGAGGAATTGCTCTATTTTGTGGTGAGCTAGCTGAACTAAAACGAGCTCACCGTGACTGAAGGTTTTTTTTCCTTGGGGATTCTTTAATATGAATTCAGGTTTTGGAGTTTTATGGTGGAACATGCAGAGTAGAATGGGGCTGCGGCGCAGGAGAAACAGCATATTTAGTCGTGCAAGATCAGAGAAGGTTTCGTGTAGCCATTATGTTCCAATTTGAGTGGAGGCCAGGCACCCGGGACTTTACCCACTAGGACATACGGGTTAACGTTTGTGTGGCCATTGTTTGCTTTTGCCACGTGTGTTTGGCATTGTTTGGCCCTGCGTCAGTCCAGAGGTGAAGCCAAGCTTGATGAAAGAGGGGAAGGACGCCTTCGTGGAGGACTTGAAGTGTGTGGTGCAGGAACTCCTGCCGCAGCTTGGGCCAAGCTTTGTGCTGGTTGACAGCTCCTTTGGGCCGGGCTCGGCTTTGGCTTGGCATTTGCGACCTTATTTGTCCGGAGCACTGATCATCAACGCCCACTTGTTCAAGGCTCCGGATTTTGACTCCACAGAGCTAGCACAGAAGATCCGCAAGAGGATGGCATTCCTGGGCGAGAAGTACGCCAGCAAAGACCGTGATGCCATCCTGTCCTTGCTGCCAGATTTCATGTACCCAACAGGTGGTGCTGAAGGGGTTGAGGAGACGAAAGAGATGTACTGGCTGGCAATGGAAGAGGCTTCGGCCAACTTTTGGGAAATGGCAGGTCTTCAGCCTTCCTGGAACTTCGAACACCTCACAGGAATGTTCACAGAGTTGCCAGAGTGGCCTAGGGACTCTCCACCGGTAGTGCTAGCTGCCAGCGATCAGGCACCGTTGGTGGTGGTGGGTGAGGCACGGTCGCTCCAAACCTCAGCAATGACTGAACCAGAAGGGTAGTATATAGGCACAAGGTGTGGTTTGCCTGTTGGTTTCCGTTTTGCCGTTCCGAAAAGGGTGACCTCCCAAAAAAGCCGCGGGCCATCGTTCGTTTTCCAAACTCGGGGGGGCCAACCTTCGACTCCGATCGGGTGAGGCCATGCAGAGGTTACAGCAGATTATGCCGGGCTCGAAGCTGGAGTTTATCCCCAGCAGCAAATGGTCTTGGCACCTGGAAGGGACAGACGTGGTTGAGGAGGTGACAAGTCTCCCAGCCCAGTGGTGCCACTTTTTTCCCGTCGCCCTTTTGGGGGAGACAGCTTTAACCAAAAGAATCAACCGAGAGAAGTGTCTTCTTTCTGCTTATGCGGAAGCGTGCCCTGTTCTTTGGAATCAACCGGTTGCGATTTTCCCCCTACTGTGGATGGACGAAATCCTGCACCACCTAAGAAACCCCGGAATGATGTCTCCCCTGTAAATGCCAACAAACAGTTGAAATTGTTTCCCATGTTTTCAAGTGGTGCAGGATCTCGTCCATCCACAGTATGAAGAAAGCACCTCCGGTCGCGAGCTTAGGTCTTCTTGCTCGCGTTGCTCCAGCCCGAGTGAAAGTCACCGTTAGCCATGCCAATGCGCGTGTCGGCTCGGAGACGCGGAAGGTCGTGGTGATTGAGCCGAACATTGCGCCGGTGAAGCATGTCCTGCAACAGCCGGCTGAACTATTAGCTTTTTGCATCCTTTGCTTATTTAGATTCGGGGGTAATCCGAGCGAAACTCCATGAGGCTTGCAAACCTTGGCACAAGCATAGAAAGAACGCGAGATGGATTCCCAAGGTACGTGGGGATCCCCAGATTCATCCCTTGGGCCCTGCAGCAGCCCATTCTGGAGGAATGGGCGGCCACAGAGTTCGTGAAGATCTGGGGCATCAGCGAGGACTCGGTAAAGCCCGGCTTGATGAACCTTGGCCTCACTGGCTGCATGGACTTCCCAGTTGCCCAGTGGTGCCCTTTTTCCCTTTTTTGGAAAGGGTCCCCTTTAAACTCAACCAACCCCCCCAACAAAAAACAGGATGACTTACTGGGTTTGGCTGATTTTGGTCGTTTCAACGGAACATGAGGACTCGTTTGGGTGTTTTTTTTCATGGGCAGCTCTTGCAAGATGTGAGACTTCGCATTTTTTTTTTCCTTTCCCGGGGCTTCGGCGGCTTTCAACGCGCCCAGGAACGAGGGGCAGGACGCCTTTCTGGAGGACTTGAAGTGCTTGGCGGAGGACGGATGCATTGGCTTGAAGGGCCAGCACAGACCCTGCCACCAAAAACGCCGGGGAAACTTGAAGGTTCAATTCGGAAGTTGTTGTTGAAAACAACCTGGAAGTACGTGGGGGGGTGCTTCCACGTGTTTTCGGACATCTTGTTTTTTTGTTTCTACTGGCTTTTTGTAGGGCATCCACTGGTCATATGCTCGAGGAATGGAAGGTGGCCACATCAGCTTCCCCAAAGCTGGTTGGGATTGATGGGCTGCCCTGGTGTCGGTCAATGGGGAACCTAAGCTCAACCAAACCAGACCAAGAGCTCAGTCCGTAAGAGTCTTTGTTCAAGAGACCATTTTAGCGGCAAACAAGCAGTGCTTTTTTTGGCCAATCCAGTCAGGAAGTGAGAGAAGGCCGACCGGAGGTTGTTGAAACAATCCTGTAGTTTCCTGTTTGCACAATCGCTGGAAGCCCCGTGGAGGAACTCTTGCCGCAGCTTGGGTCGAACTTTGTGCTGGTTGACAGCTCCTTTGGGCCGGGCTCGGCTTTGGCTTGGCATTTGCGACCTTATTTGTCCGGAGCACTGATCATCAACGCCCACTTGTTCAAGGCTCCGGACTTTGACTCCACAGAGCTAGCACAGAAGATCCGCAAGAGGATGGCATTCCTGGGCGAGAAGTACGCCAGCAAAGACCGTGATGCCATCCTGTCCTTGCTGCCAGATTTCATGTACCCAACAGGTGGTGCTGAAGGGGTTGAGGAGACGAAAGAGAGGTACTGGCTGGCAATGGAAGAGGCTTCGGCCAACTTTTGGGAAATGGCAGGTCTTCAGCCTTCCTGGAACTTCGAACACCTCACAGGAATGTTCACAGAGTTGCCAGAGTGGCCTAGGGACTCTCCGCCGGTAGTGCTGGCTGCCAGCGATCAGGCACCGTTGGTGGTGGTGGGTGAGGCACGGTCGCTCCAAACCCCAGCAATGACTGAACCAGAAGGGTAGTATATAGGTTTCACACAAGGGTTTGCCTTTTGGTTTCCGTTTTGCCGGTCCGAAAAGGGTGACCTCCCAAAAAATCCGCGCGCCACCGTTCGTTTTCCAAAGTCACCTTCCATTCTGATCAGCGAGGCCATGCAGAGGTTACAGCAGATCATGCCGGGCTCGAAGCTGGAGTTCATCCCCAGCAGCAAATGGTCCTGGCACCTGGAAGGCGGCTGCGAAGTTGTTGCTTTTGCCCCGCAAGAGTGTAGCGGGTGGCGGCTGTTGGCCTTTGTATCGCGCCTGGATGGTGGGGAATGGCCGGGTTTATATAACATTTTCAGGGGACCTGAAGATCCTTCCAACCAGTAAGGCCGTTTGACCTGCTTGGCATGAGAAGGCGTATCAACCCTGAACCATTGGCACTTGGGTCCTTTTGTTCCCTGAGGCCCAGATGTGCTGCAGAGTGTGTCGCAGATGTTTTCTTCCTTGCTCCCAATTGACAACGTCATGGATACCAGCATGGTTCGAGCGCCTCGGCTGCATTTGTATGCACTCTGGATGAATATGGGGGTCTCAGCCCATTTCAGAGGGAAGCCTGATGTCCCCAACAGCTGAAAGCTACAGGCAACCTATAGGCTATAGGTTCATGCCACCTCTTCCATGCAAGTCAGTCAGCCCATTTGTTTCCAGTGTCCTCACGCTTTCTCCTCCAAATCCAACCTCATTTATCACTTTTTCAAAGAGAGCCAAAGCCGACCTTTTGACCGCGTTTGGTCTATTTTTAGTCGAGTCTCCAAAGCGTGTGCGTGGGTGTGTGTGTGTGTGTGTCTCTGTGTCTCTCTCTGTGTCTCTCTTTGTGTCTCTCTCTGTGTCTCTCTCTGTGTCTCTCCTGTGTCTCTCTCTGTGTCTCTCTCTGTGTCTCTCTCTGTGTCCCTCTCTGTGTCTCTCTGTGTGTCTCTCTCCGTGTCTCTCTCCGTGTCTCTCTCTGTGTCTCTCTCTGTGTCTCTCTCTGTGTCTCTCTCTGTGTCTCTCTTGGTGGTTCTCTCTGTGTCTCTCTTGGTGGTTCTCTCTGTGTCTCTCTCTTGGTGTCTCTCTCTGTGTCTCTCTCTGTGTCTCTCTCTCTCTGTCTCTCTCTCTGTCTCTCTCTGTGTCCCTCTCTGTGCTCTCTCCGTGTCTCTCTCTGTGTCTCTCTCTGTGTCTCTCTCTCCGTGTCTCGCTGTGTCTCTCTGTGTCTCTCTGTGTCTCTCTGCTGTGTGTCTGCTGCGTGTCTCTGTGTGTCTCTGCTGTGTGTCTCTGTGTGTGTGTGTCTCTCTGTGTGTGTGTGGAACAGAGACACAGAGACACAGAGACACAGAGACACAGAGACACAGAGACACAGAGACACAGAGACACAGAGACACAGAGACACAGACACACAGACACACAGACACACAGAGACACAGACACACAGACACACACAGAGACACAAACACACAGAGACACAGACACACACACAGAGACACACAGAGACACACAGAGACACACAGACACACAGACACACACACAGAGAGACACACACACACAGAGAGACACACACACACACAGAGACACACAGAGACACACACACAGAGACACACAGAGACACACAGAAACACACAGAAACACATCTCTGTGTGTCTGTGTGTCTGTGTGTCTGTGTGTCTGTGTGTCTGTGTGTCTGTGTCTGTGTGTCTGTGTGTGTCTCTGTGTGTGTGTCTGTGTGTCTCTGTGTGTGTCTGTGTGTGTCTGTGTGTCTCCGTGTGTCTCTGTGTGTCTCTGTGTGTGTGTGTGTCTGTGTGTCTCTGTGCGTGTGTCTGTGTCTCTGTGTCTCTGTGTCTCTGTGTCTCTGTGTCTCTGTGTGTCTGTGTGTCTGTGTGTCTGTGTCTCTGTGTGTCTGTGTGTCTGTGTGTCTGTGTGTCTGTGTCTCTGTGTCTCTGTGTCTCTGTGTCTCTGTGTCTCTGTGTCTCTGTGTCTCTGTGTCTCTGTGTCTCTGTGTCTCTGTGTCTCTGTGTGTGTGTCTCTGTGTGTCTGTGTGTCTGTGTGTCTGTGTGTCTGTGTGTCTGTGTGTCTGTGTGTCTGTGTGTCTGTGTCTGTGTGTCTGTGTGTGTCTCTGTGTGTGTGGCTGTGTCTGTGTCTGTGTCTGTGTCTGTGGTGTCTGTGTTGTCTGTGTTGTCTGTGTCTGTGTCTGTGTGTGTGTGTGTTGTGTGTGTGCCTGTGTGCCACTCTGTGTGTGTGTGTCTGTGTGTGTGTCTGCGTGTTTTGAGGGGCCTTTTTTAGCCCGACAAGGAACACCAAGCAGAAAACCGAAGTCATTTTGCCACCTTCAAGTCTCCATTTTGACATGCAGTCGGTGCCGGAAGCGGAACCGGCAGCCACACCCGGAGACCGAGGAGATACGCCCATCAGACTTGTCTGTACCTTTGCTGGATACTCGAGGTGTCGCTTTGCTGCAAGTTAATCCCGGCGGGCCCTCCGCGCACGATTTCGGATGTCCATTTCCTATGGGAACCATCGGGGTCGTGGGCCCCCGACCAACGTGGGATTTCAAAAACCCCTGGGACCTCAACCGGGGTTCATCCGTTGGTAACTGTGAAGCTTAAGCATGTTGAAGCCCTCCAATAACTTGCAGGTCGGGAAGGAATGACCCAGCGTGAACCTAGGGATTCCTTTAAAGAAAGCTAGGGGATGGGGTTTCAACTCATTCCCTGCCTCTCGAACCAGCAAGATGCGGATTGAAGGTTGGCCTTTCGCACGCGTCCCAGGCAACGTTTCCACTTGGATCCGCGTAGATAATTAAATCGTCCCCGTTCAGTAGGATTTACGCTTCCTCACGGGAGCTTATGGGATAAGTTGCTAGCTGGGGCGGTCTGAGGGCACAAAGTGGCACGCCACTTTGTGCCCTTTCCAACGACGAACATTGGTTGGAAACTGGTTGGCATACTGTGGATGGTTGCAACATCAATTTCGCACCACCCAAGAAACCATGGTTGCATTGGTATTCACAGGAGAATCATCAGTCCAGGGATTCTTGAGTGGTGCAGGATTTCGTCCTTCCAGAGATCCACAGTAGTGAGCAACAATCAGGCAACATACCGAACATACCCAATTGGACATGGGGCTAGACTCGGGGTTCCGCGTGGCAACCAAGTCTTTGGGGGTTCCACGGCAGAATGTGCATTGAAGAAATCCCATCGCCAGCTAGCCATGGCCCAGTGCACGGCCAAAAAAGGCCGTGGGCTCAAAGCACATCGTCAGATCGCAGCAATGCAGGCGATGCCCATGATTTCCATGGAGGGCGGGTGTGGCCGTTGCCAGCCCTGCAGTGAGCCTTGCAAAGCAATTTGCCCCGTACAGTGAGCGAGAAGCCTCGCACCTGGGAGAATTGAAGCTCCTCATGTTGGGGGTTGAATCCAGGGGCGCTGCAACACTTTTCCTTGATTTGTTGTTTTTTGGGACATGCTCAACCCAAATGGGTCATGGTCGGTTCCCCAAATTCCAGGGCACCGGATTGGGGATCGGAAGCCCTCGCAACCCAGGAGTGGGGGGGGGGGGGAATTTGTCTCCGACGAGCGAGGATTTGGGGTGGCCTGAAGTAAACTAACCCCACGCCTGCCACATCACTCGAACCTCTTTTGTGGCCGTTTGTGGCTCCATGGCTAACAGCGTACACATTCAGCATCGATCATTGGCATTCACAATGCCAGAATTACACTCTGGCAAAAGCCTACCAACTAATTATTTATGCTATGGCCCTGCTTGATAGGTTCTTGCCTACTGAGCTAGCTGGCTTTAAGATTTGCATTCGTAGGTGCATGCATCCTTGTAGAAATGCGCTTTAGCATCGCTTTAGCCAGTCAAATCAGGTCAGACATGCATAACCAGCTAAGTACAAACAATTTCCACACAACTTTGGATTTCCAAACGTCACCCCAAGACATGTAGCTGGCTTCCTGTAGAAATAAGTAGAATCAGCCCACACATTGGCCTGCTGAAACGCCAAACCAGCCCAAAGATTTCCTGCTGGAGTTTCCTGCTGGTTTCGGTACATGGAACACTATGGGCGTACATGGAACACTATGGGCGTTTTTTTTTGGTCTGCTCTGGAGCCTATCTCTCAGCTTCGAGCGATACCTGGGTGCGAGGCTGGGTAGGGTTTTGAATTTCCTTTGGTTCCGTGACCTTAGCGTGGTTGAAGATGGGGCCTGATCCATTTTAGAGATTCGCATCCCGTTGGGGGTTGATTTTGCCAGATCAACATTCATTTCTTGGCACCTTGGGCAAAAAGCCAGCCATGTTTTTGGCGCCAGCCATGTTTTTGGCATCGCCCGGTACCAATGCTTAGCTTTTCGGCTTCTTTTCAACCCAAGCCTTGCGTTCATGCCAAGCGGACCTGACAATATACTTGCAACCAGGCGGAAACCCGCCTAGTTTCCGCTTGGCCGGAAGTCGCAGAGCCATGCTGCATCCCCGTGCGGAGTACTGGGCAGTTTTTCAAAGCCAACTGCATAGGTCCATATGTGAACCCATGGCCATTTTGCACAATAGCGGGGGGCTGCATTCCCAGAATGAAGCCATAACTAAGGCTTCATCAATCCAACACACTTGGGGTTAATACCAGAAATTCATACTTGAACGTATGCATTCAACCTCTGAGTGTTGTTCGGTGGGGCTCGTGGGTTCCATGTTTGCATTTTCTGGGTAGGGGTTGAATCAAGACTTCAGCTCAGGCGAGTTGAATCAACACCGGACAAGTATCGTCAGTCAGATCACCCCCCCCCCCAAATTGAGCCAAAGAATCCTTGCCCAAAGTTTAGGCCGTATTGGCTGTTTGGCGCTATTCAGCACTATTTGGCCTCGAGAAGTCTTCGGGGTGCCGGTTTGTAGGGTCAGTATTGGATGCCCTCCTCTGGGATGCTGTGACTTTCGGCTCTCGTGGTGTCCTCCTTTTCCTCCCTTTGGAGGGGCTTCCAAACTACCGGGCAGTTGTTTTTCTTTCCAGGGGGATGGAGGCTGTGAAGCTATGGTTCCCCCCTCGGTGTTTGGGGCCCGGTCCTTTGGGACACCCGATTTCAAGCAGAACTTCTTGTCAAGAAGGCCCGATGGTTTGCCTTCCTCACGAATAGTTCCGAGGGAAAGAGGTTGGATGGTGACCGCTTCTGTGATACCTTTGCGGAACTGTTTGCCCCTCTTTGTGAGTCTCCCTGAAGGGGGTTTTTGGAACATGTCGCTTCTTATTTGGTCTTTCCTGGAATTTCCTGCCATTTTTCTCCCTCCAGCGAGAAATGTCGCCCAAGGCTGTGTTTTAACTTCTTTCAAAAAGATGGCGGTATCACAGAAGCTGCGCAAAATTCCACCCGATCTCCGAGCAGCAGAACCGATCCAATGCCGTGGACGGCCGGAATCAGCTGTTCCCGGCTGAAGGGTCGGATCATCCCTTGGCGCTGGGGGGTTCCACGGAGCCACTTCCCCCCTCCCCCATTTGGAGCTTGGTCACTTACTCTAGTGTGAGGTTTCGGCATTTCATCCCCAAATAAGGGCACTGCACCCCTGTTTGAATGTGTCGCTACTTGCCTCTGCCCCCCCCAAAGCCTTCACTTCAGCTTCCCCGTTGCGTTGCCGATGGGAAAGTAGGATTGAACTCCCCAAAAAACCCATTGAATCCAAAGGCCATGGTCCCAGACTCCCAGTTGGAGTGCCTTCCTTTTGCCCGGGGGGGGAGGTCCGTTCAAACTCCACTCCTTTAAAAGTGCCTCCCTTTGTGGGTTCCATGTTAATTTGCAGGAGGGTCACATCACCTAAGAAACGCGAGGCCCTTTGGTCTATGGGGGTGGAGGTGGTCAATGGCATGCTTGCCCTAATTTTGAGCTCGCTCTGGAGATAAATCAAGCTCGGCCCCCGTTTGTTTGGCGTCGAAGGGCGTTTCCCGCGCAGGCTGAGGGGTATCGCCGTCTCACCTTGCGCGAGGTGAGGGGAAGAGCCGGCAATCGTAGAATGCCTCACGTTCCGTTTTCAGGCGTTATACTAAATCACCAACCAAGATGGCAACTCAAGCCCTACCAAAGCTTTTGGTATTCTAATTAAATCCTCCGAGATATTGTCAACGACTGAAGCTACCAAAACCTTGGAGACATGTTGAGTACAATATGTTTAGACTCGTTTGCCCAAGCCATTGAGAAGCAAAAGTGGAGCCACGCACCAAGATGAAACCTGAATGGATATGGGGGGTTTCTCAAAATTTCGGACATTTCTTTTGGTTTCCCAAAACAAGTTGAGAAACTCCCATATATGCGCTGTCCAAGCGTATGCCGCCATTTGCATGGGTGTGGAAGCGCTTTATGGGGTCCCTTTGTTTCCCTCATTCCATGGGTGCCAATGCGCAAAAGCTGCGAGGTGCCGCTCCGTTCCCCTCACAGGCGTGAATAACGAGGCATGTCCAGCACAAAAGGCTGGAACCCGCCACACGTTGATGAAGCGAAAGTGCCGGGGCATCCCCACCCCAACGTGGCCTTACAAGGCTCGAACTTCTGATGACTTATCTAAAGAAACTCGAGCCCACCTGTTTGGTCAAACTCAAGCGAGCCCACCTGACTGAAACGAAGACTCCTATGTGTTCTTTGTTGTTTACAGGTTTCTGCAAAGGATGCAGGGCTAATGCAGACGCCTGCATTATGTCGAGTTTGTGAATTAGAGTACTTCGTCCAAGATCTGTGTTTACAACACCTGACCTGCTTCTGGATACTGGCAAGGAGCGCGCCTGCCTCCCAATTTCATGTGCCAATCCTTCTCAGTAAATTGCCCAAACTCCAAGGATTTGGGGGAGGAAGGGCGTGGGGCGCGGGGCTGGTTTTTGAAAGGATGGGCGAAAAGAGTGGGGTTCCCAATTTTTAAAAATAACGCGGAAAAGCATAGCTGGCAGATCAGCAATTTGCCAGATGATCTCCAAAATCATAGTATGTTTAAAAGGAACTCCGGGGTCTGTTCAGGACATATTTTGCGCTATGAGGAGACTAAACATGGAACATAATTTTGATTATTTCTATTTTCTGTGTACCGCGGATTGGGGCTAGGATGCGGCACTGGTCACATCCCGCACAACTTGGAAACCGCTTAGTTCCCATCGCCCTTCGTCAAAGACTGGGGTGAACAACGCGCGGGTTCAGTGGTCTTTTCGCCCCGCGAGCCGCGAGACCCAAAAAGTCGGCGGCTCAAAGGCAGGTCAGTTGGAGCGACAATTGCCCTCTACCAATTTACACCCAGTGGCCCGTGTAGCAACGTACGCAACCAAAATGACCCTTCACCAACTCAAGGGATAATAAAAATAGCCAGTTGCCTGCCATAGTGGATGGACGAAATCCTGCACCACCGAAGAAACCCTGGAATGTTGATTCCCCTGTAAATTTTAACCACAAATGTTTTGCCACGGTTTCCAAGTGGTGCAGGATTTCGTCCATCTACAGTAGTGCCAACTGGGCTCGCTGGGATGAGAAAACAGTCAATCCGGGTCCTCATGTTTTGTTCTGAGCTGTTGAAATTGTCGGAAGATCCTGGGTCACGAAAGTTGCGAACTTAGTGGTGGCGAACGGGAACTATGGCAAATCGGATGGGTCTGTGACATGCGGCTTGCTTTGTGACAGATACGTCGCTTTGGCGACCTGATTGCGCCCCACAAGCTGCCAATAGCATTTTCCCGGCCCCAACCCGTTACTTGCTGCAGTGGCAAGTGGGAGCGCTTGGAGAGCTTCAGTTTCGATTTGCTGGTTTCGACTCGCTTTTGCCTCCCTGTCCCGACCGAGTTTCCAGCGGAAGGAGATTGGGTTTGACAGGCTTGGCGGACCATTTCGTCGGTTGGGCCTGGACTTCAGCTGGTGGACCACTCGTAACATGCGCCACTTTGTGGTCTGAGCCTTGGGATATTGTACAAGAAATATCGGGGTGTGTCTGGTTTGGAAGTTTTGAGGGGAAACCGGCAAACCCGAAATCAAGTTTGGGGGGCACCCTACCACACACACACGTGTACCTTATGTAGGGAGCCCCAAACCGAAGGTCAGCTCCTTGCGACTTGTGTCGGACTCGCAACTGCCCGGCAGTCGGCAGTTGCTCGGCAGGTGAGCTCATTCTTCCCTTCCAGGACGCTACTCATGGCCTTTGTGGCCTCTGTCCGGGTGCCAAAAAATCTGGAGGCCTGACCCAAGGAGCTTGGGAGCCTCTTGCGTGTAGGTTAAAGCCATGGATAAAAACTGTGGCAACTGGGGTGGTCGTCCCCCCTATGATGGTTATAACCTGCTTAAGATGCTTGAACACTCAAGTTGGGGCTCACCTTCCAGACCCAAGCAAACGCTAGCCAAGAGGGAACGTGGTTGGGGAAACACGTAGCTGGGGGTATCCAAGTTTGGCGAACAAAGGAGGGAGCTGAGGAGCTACAATGCGTTCTGAAAGGACATGGTAGGTCTTTGTTTTGTGGGCCAAACTCCTTGCTATCTACCGAACAGGTGACTTGAGAGCATTTTTTTGGGCCGCGGTTCATTGGGCTTCCTTTCTCGGTGGGGGGATGTTCAAGCTTCGCATCGGGCTTGTCCGTGATGTTGGCCCCGGCATGGGAGAAGGAGGGGGGGTTGATAGAGAACTGGTTACCCCCAACAGCGATCCGGATCCTCTCGAAAATGGGCTTCAATCCTTCAGTGTTGTTGGCATGTGTTTAGTTTCTGAGGTTGTTTGGTTCTGTTCCTTGATTTAGTTTTTAGTAACGGGCTTGCGGTACCAACCAAGGCATGAAACAGCATCTTCAAGTAGGTCTTTGATCCTCCCGCAGCGGGCCAGTTACTGCCCCCATTCCAGGGTCTCCTTGAAGCATGCCACTTGTTGACTGAGAGGAACATCTAACATGCCACTGGGCCCCCTGGTCACGAGACCATACATGGGGTCACTACTTTCGGCCGCTCGAGCAAGAATGCCTTGGCACGTATGCCTTGAGGCTTAAGTCTGGGGCCATATTCGGGCGATACCAAGGGCGGCGCCTGGAGAAGCCCTCATAAAGAAGGCCAACCCATTCATCATTCGGAGACAATTAAATGGGTGACAGCCCCCTTTTTTTTCGGGAGGGGGGGGGGGTTAAAACATATCAGCCCGCCATTTCAAGGCAGTAGGGTCTGCTTGTAAATGGGAACAAGGAAAGCACGCCTCATCTTGAGGGACCAATTTACAGCCCACTGGCGGGCGATTTCGTATACACCTCTCCCTTTTCGCGGGGTAAGCACACGGCAACATGTTTGTGGGCTTGAATTGAAACTGCACGAGGGAACCCCCCCAAGACAAAAGAAAAGACAAACAAACAAACACAAAAAAAGAAAAGAAACAAAAAGAACAAACACAAAGAACAAAACAAAAGAAAGACAGCAGACGTCAGACAGTTCCTATTTGAAAATACCTCACCCCAGAAAACCCAATCCACCCCCCCCCCCCTCGCCCAAGTCAGAACTCAGGTGGTGGCCACTCTCTTGCTCTCGGTGTCGGACCTCACGGGCTCTGGGCACCTGACCCTGTACAGCGTGCCGGGGCACCTGGCGGGTGTGGCACGGGAAAGTTTTGGGGACCCAGGGTCCCTACCCGGTGCTTACAGTTATATGGCCGAACCAATGGGATCCTATTTTGGGGTAGGTGAATTCACCACCCATTTTGGATGGTTTTGGTGGGGATTGGGGGTACGGGGACTCGTACCTATAGGTTTTACCCTGGAAGAGTTGGTAACCCAGGTGGCTTACTGAAATTGCACGTGCCCGGCTTTACCTGATGGCCTCTGGCTAGCCATTCCAATGGCAACTCTGGAAGTGAGAGCACGGGGCTCATTGGTCCGCGGCCCTGAAGCCGAACTTTTTCTCTTGGGTTTAGCAGGGGTCCCTAGATTTCCCTTTTTGGGCGGTTTTAAACATCAGCTTTTTGGTCCATTATCCCTTGTCGGGGGTGATGTGTTAAGGGGAAATATCGGGAGCCCTGTTTAGCCAACAGGGTCAAGCACAGGGCTTTTGCTTCACTGCGAGGTGGCGCTTAAACGCCCAAGACTTTGGTGCCAGGGTCAGGCACCCCAGGCGCCCGTTTGAGGAGACCCAGGAGTCTTGACCACTCATGTGCCACAACAGATCTTTGGGTTTCCCCTCAAATCCGCTACAAAGCCAGCTGGACCTCCTTGGTCTGGAAAATCCCCTCGCCACCGGGCGCCACTCTTGGCTTTTCAGTTTCCTCAAGCTGTGATCCACAAAGACAAGTCCCAGTGAAGCTGTAAACAAGGGGTGGGGGGAGCGGGGAGGTTTGGTTTTTGCGCATGGCGAAGCAACGCGCGCCAAGGAGATACACAGTGGTCTGTCATCCGAGCGATTATGTGCCGGGCTGAGTGCCGAACTGAACTGGGGTCGGGGGCATAAATTCAAGAAGGCTCCCCCAGAGCCTTGCTTTGCATACAGGCCTTGAGCGTTCTGCCTTTCTGATGCCCTGTGAGTTGGCGCATGTCGACCTCTTTAAAGACACAAGGAGTTTATACTCTGGCTCGTCCCTTAGCAGATTAGCAGGTGTTTTTGATCCTCATTGCCAAGTAGAAACGAGACAAGTCTCATTTCTGCTTTTTGCTTCCCTGATGCAGGGGGTGCACTCACTTAGGTGGTTTCGAAAATCAGGGCACCCTCCCCCCTCCCACGAACAACCAAGATACAGCCAAATGTGTTGCTTTGCTTCTTCCAGAAAGTCATACAAAGAAAGAGGGGTCCCCATCTTACGTTTGGTGCATGTTGCTTGGATGTTAGGACTTTAACTTTTTTGCCAACTAATGGGTTTTCCGTTAAACCACTAAAAGTTAAAGTCTTAGCGTGGAGCAGAAAGCAACCGAGTTACGATGCCGTTCCCTGAAGGTTTGGCTTGGCTTCGCGGCAAAGCCCACGCCTATGCCCCAAACGCAGGAATGTAGATGTTTTCTAGGCCCATACCCACCATCCAGCTTCAAAGAGGCGTTCTTTGTCCAGGCCCTATGTACTACCCGCCCAGTTTCAAATCATCTCAACTTTCCTTGGCACCCGATTCTGGACCTTGTTCAGGTTGGACTTTTGTCAAACTACCACATACCAATGGTTTTGCAAATTGCAGGTTTCCTCTTGGAGGTGTACCAGGCCAAGGGTCCGAGATTCCTTCCCCCCCCCTTTCCAGTGGCTGCCCCATAGGGTTTGCAAAGAATTCTGATCTTGACAAATCAGCCGGCCATGGGCTTAGGCTGTTCAAAGCTGTCGCTTCTCTCTTCCGCTTGGGTGCTTGGGTGCGATGCGCAAGCCGCGTCAAGTTGGTTTTGTCCGTGGTTACGAGTGGTGGGGATTTGCAAATACCAACACACAGTGGTTTCTCATGGTTTCAAAGTGGTGCAGAATTTTGTCCATCCACAGCTCTGGTTAATCAGTCCCCTAAGTTTTGATACGTAGGGCAAGTCTCACTTAAGGGGCCTTATTGGGGGACAACTTACCCGAGGTGAGACGGTCCATTCGCGCCCATTCTTACGACCTTTAGGACCACCGACCCACACGCATCGAGGCGATGTTTGCCCTGCTGGGTGCCGCAGGTGGTTTGGCCAGCGGCTGAGTGCCCGCCCACTGGCCGAGTTCTCCGTAGTTAGTTCTCAGTACAAAATGACAACGAGCCCGGGTGATGAGAATGAGCTTTTTGGCGATCCCCGAGTGAAGGACAGCACCAGGGAATGTGTTTTGTTTGGGGGGCCATTCCATGTCTCGTTCCCTGCTGAGCAGCAAGAAAACCAAAGGCAGCGGGAAAGAAGCAGCAGTCCTGTCCAATTTTCAGACGAATTCCCCTTGTCAAGCTTGTTTGTTGGATGCATTCTGCAGGGTGGCAAACTGACCAGAGCTACAGCTTTGAACAGGTACCCAGGACTCAGGAGCAAGTCTCGGTTGCCGAATGCCGAACTTTTCTCACCTTTTCGGGCATCCCTTTGCTTTCATTTGGTTAAGAATATTCTTTATTTTCCCCTGTTAGTTTTAAGGGGAATCTATCACTACTGGAATTTTTGTCCAGGGGACTTAAGAAAATGGAGGTTTGTGGCCGAATTTTATTCCAGGGCCAAAGCTTTCATTTCCAGATGCTTTTGGGCAGGGTTTGCGAGGCTCGGAAGTGGGCAAAACCTCTCGTTGACGCTCCAGTTTGGATCTGAAGTTGATTTCATGCCCTATGTACAGGGCCGGAGTGGTGAGATCTTTGGCGTTCTCCCAGGGCATGGGCACCCCTCAAGGATTTTTTGGAGAATGTGACCCCAGCGGAATCAACAGGAGTAGTAGCCCCCCCCTTTCACTTGCACCCCCCCCTCGCCTATTTATCAAGCAGTGGTCCTGATAATGGTAAACAGCAGCTTTTCTTCTTTGGGGGGGCCCAACCACTCAATCGGTGAGTTCGTTTGAACCAAGCAAGTGAGGCGCGGTTGCCGAGGTGGGCGCGCTGTTCAACGCCCTCAACGTCCGGCGCGGCGCTGGGCGGAGTCTTGTCACCCCAAAGCGACTTCCAAAGTTCTGGGAACTTTGGTGCATGTTGCTTGGATGGTAGGACTTTAACTTTTTGCCAACGAATGGGAGTTCCATTAAACCACTAAAAGTTTAAACTTTTAGCAGGGGAGCAGAAAGCAATCGAGGTAACTCCTGCTTGGTGGTCTGGTGGTTTGGATTTGGATTTCATCCCCTCCTTGTGGAGGGCTAGCCACTAAACCAAACTGCTAGTTGGAAGCTTCCTCTTTCCTCCCTTGGGGTGGTCCAGGTGGTCCGAGGAGGGTTCCCAAAGTCTCCCTAAGAAACCCTAGGGCTCTCAACTACCCACCCCGCCCTTGCAGCTACCTGATTTCCCCCCCAAAAAAACGGATTCGCACCATAATTGTGAGGCCACCAATCTTTAAGTTTGAGTGTTGTGCGTCCAGGTACCTTAACTAGAGATTCCCCTAGACCCGCTTCCGAGCCGGGGCGTTCTGATCAAACCGCAGGTGGTGCGCCTTCAAGTCCAAGCCCTGCTTCAAGCGATGGGTGGGGCCCGTACAGGAGGCGAGGAAACGGCCTTGGCAGTTCTTGGCATGTTTTTGGGCTTTGTTTGGTTTTTGTTTGGTTCTGGTTATGTTTAAGCCTGCTTGCCGCAGAACAACAAAAACAATAACGTGGCTGTTGCTACCATACCAAGGGTTGGAAGCTGGATATGGAGAAGAACCGGGAAATATGGGTGGTGACATTGACAGCCACGTGTTGCCTATGTCTACCTGTTTGTTGAGGGGGATGGGTCCCCCTTCATCAACCGCAAACTCTCTGGGTACCCCTAGCGGTTGCTGCTAACCGCGGATCCACCAGGTCCACGCCAAAAAAATGGTCGGGGTTCCAATAGCCAGTATTAGCGGAAGCCCCCCACAAGATCTCCACAGGCTTTTCTCAGCCCAAAGGATTCCCCTTGCATTTTTTGTGATTCCCAGAAAGGTGGTCCTTTTTTGGGGGGTCTCTGAAGGGTCTAGCCCCATCGCGCTGTGCCAAGACCATTCAAAAGGTTCTTCCCTTGTCGTGATTTCCTAATCAGAATTGCGGAGCATCATTGGATTGGCCACGTTTCCAGTCTGGTGGCGGAGATCAGGCCCGCCCACACTGTCTTTTTCCGCCTGGGAGTGATGCCCTCCATTTTTCAAGATGTGTTTGGGAAACTCTGCAGCCCGGGCTTCCCCCTTCACTTCTTTCTCTGGCTGAACCGTATCCAGAGGAACCACCCTTTGACAAAAAACTTCGTGAGGATAGGTCCCAAACAGGGCATGCTTCCTGGAGGAGCTTATCCAAAGGGAGCCACAAGGAAACCCACCATTTCGGCATCCACCATTTGGGACACACGATCGTTGTGAGAATCGGAATGCTTCAGCTGGCCCAAGGTCATAGTACCCTACCTGGCTTTCACAGGTCGCCACCTTGCCAAGACCAATCAAGCTAGGCTTTCAGCAGTTGCAGTTGTCAAGGGGCTGCATGGTCTTGATTTGCGATTAGAATGTTCTTTGCGCAAACGCCTGTCTTGATTCATATCTCCCCAGCGCAATGGCCATTGGTGGAGGCAACAGCATCGTGGTTGTGACCACGTCCTGCCTACTGTGTGCGGCCACTTTTTGCTTTCTCACACTGGACAAGACGCCCACCTGGATCGTCTATGGCTTGACCTTGATTTTCACACCCATGAACTACTTCTTGGGATCGGGCTATACTGAGGTAGCGTCAGCACCAATGCACCAAGGCATCTTCTCGCATGACCAGGTCGGGGTCGACAAAGAAATCCCGCGCCTTTCTGTTACGTAAATTGTAAGCTTTCTTTGCATGCCCAGAATTCTGCAAACCGATGCTGAGGAAAAAATCAGCACGATACCCGTAGAATGCCATGAAGACACACGCATTGGGCCTAAGGTGTTGTCGCAAGCCAAGATAGTGGAATCAGACATTTGCAGGGCCCAAACCGATACCCAAACCGATGCCCAACCGATATCCCGGATCCAAGCAGCTGCCCTGGAGCTGCCAAAATGTACTTTGTGTACTGAAAAGTGGCGACTTCCGAGAAGGAGCTGCCAAAGTGTACTTCTAAAACTGCGCTTGCACTGAACAGTTGCCACTTCCGAGAAGGAGCTGCTAAAGTGCACTTCGAAAACCGTGCTTGTACTGAACAGTTGCGACTTTCCAGCTGGAGCTGCAAAAATGCACCTTGCGCACTACACTTGCACCTTGCGCACTACACTTGTATTGAAAAGTTGCGGCTTTCCAGCTGGAGCTGCCAAAGCACTGCAAACCGAAGCAGCGGAACAAGCCGACGCTAGCCGATACCAGGATATAGGTGGGAAGGGTTGTCCATATTTTCCTCCAGCTCAGGTGGTGGAGGGGGCAACCGCAAGAGACCTGCGGGAGAAGGCCTTGGGCATGTTCTTTGCTGGCGAGGTCTGGCGACTGGGGCGTAATGTCACGGTGCTGGAGATGGGCTGTGGCAACGGGCAGGTGACATACAACCTGAACACGGTGCCCGGTGTGAACTGCCTGGGCTTAGATGGCTACAAAGGTATCCGGTCCTTAGGTGACAACTACAGGCAGTGGAATCTGGAGCACTACTTCCCAGCGCATGCGGACTATGTGATTTCCTTTGAGGTGGCGGAGCACATCGCTCCAGAGTTCGAGGACAATTTCGTTCGCACGCTGGCGCAGGCCAAGGTGGCGGTGCTTGTCTCATGGGCTTTTGTGGGTCAAAGCGGCCATGGCCATGTGAACGAGCACACCCAGAGTTATGTCATCCGCCGCCTCGAGCGCGAGAACTTCCGCTATTGCCCGGCACTCTCGCACCAACTGGTGCAGGGTTTCGCGCGTGGCTTCTTCCGGGAGTGGGAGTGGCGGAACCTGGTGGTGATGATTCAGAACGACGCCGAGGAGGTTGCCTGCGATTTGCCCCTCCGCGAATTTGCGCAAGCAGAGCTCCTGGCGCTGGCACTGCTTTCGCTGGTGCTCGCCACGTGGCCATGGCTGCCAAAGGTCAAGCTGTCTGCTAGAGCCTGGGCTGGGAGCAAAGTGATGGCAGATTAGGAGTAGTGATGGCTGATCAGGAGGCGCCGCAAGCAAAAAGCCCATTCTCCGCCTCTTTGGCCAATGCCATTCTGCAAAGTCACCAATCGCGCAGTGCCCGTTTTGCCCCATGGCCACTGGGCTGAGTTCATCAGGTGGCCTTCCAAAAGGGCGATTGAAGCATCACCGGGGCCAAATTGAAGTGGGGGGTTCTTTTGGACGCGTGAGTTTTATGGGGGGACCACGGATCACGGATCCCAGGGCCTGAAGTTCTGAAGGGACTTGGGAAATAGCAAGCCTGCCAAGCTTTTGGAAGCAAGCTTCCTATGTTGTGGAGTTCATGTTTTGTCATGTTTTGCCGGGACGCCTTTTCGACTGTGCGTTTAAGGCTTCGCGAAGTCCAAGAAGCAACATCCGCAGTGTGGCTCCATTGGGGAACCCGGGGCCCATCCCGCGAGGCCTCTTTGCTGGCCTTCGTGACGCTGGTCTCCTCTTGGCCTTTGAGCCTTACGAGGTATCTCAACGCCCTGCGCCCGGCGCCTTTCTTTCTTTTTTTTTTTCGAGTGGAAATTGGGGGTGCCCGGAGCAGGTTATACCTTGAGCAAATCCCGCTTGAGGGATTTTACTCATTTAGAACCCGCTTGGGGCACTTATTTACCGGGGATATTCGCTACTGAAGTGCGGGCTGTCAGTGGAGAGTCCCCCTCTTGTTTTCTCTAGGGGTATCCCCAATAAGGCTTGACATGACCAAAGCACATGGGTAGAGCTCACCTGGGATGCAAACCGCTCTCACTATGTGCCTTTACATGGAGATCCAATGTTTTCAAGATTGGAATCAAAACATGATCAAGTCACAAGGGTAGACATTTGGTCCGGTTCGGTTGCCCTACAGGAGGCAATTTGGTGTGTCAGGGTTACTGGGTTGCCCCGTGAGTAGACAAGTGGTATTGTTTTGTTTGTTTTGTTCATGAAGCCTGAATCTAGTTACAGCATGGCAACTCTTGCTAGGAACCTCTTAGTTTATTTGTTAGCTAACGAGCTGCTATTATTTTCAGGCATCACGCCGACCATTATGGCCTTGTGTTGCAGTCGTTTTACCCCAAACTGGCGTCTCTTTACGCCAAGCAAGTCTCCATATTCCTTTGGCCCTTGGACTGAGGCCCAAACCATCCACGCGCTCTTTGACACCTGCAGCGATGAGCCCGGGGAGACGGTGCGGAGCAGGCTCGGGGCCGACCAGAAATTGTAGGGGGAGACGGGCATGTTCAGTGTTTCTCGACATGGCATTGGGCGGTTTTTTGATACTTCTGAGGGAAACCAAAAGGAGACCAACAGGGGACCACTATTCTGACACACCCCCAATACCCCCGCGAAGTTTCGAAAGTGAAGGATCCCAGGGGACAAGGATGGGGAAGCCGTCGCGTCAAACCGCTGCGAAATCCAGCTGAAGCCCAGTATGGTAGCTGGAAGCACTGGGAGAAAGAACAAGCTCCAGTTGCGGTTCGAGGGTATTTGGTTGATGCGCATTTCGGAGTTGTTCCGTACCTGTTTTGAGGGGTCCTGAATGAGACACGCCCTTTGTTGGACACCCTTTGTTGGCTTTCAGAGGCTTGCTCAAGTGGCAGGCAAACAGCTGGTTTCCAAGAACACGCCAGAGAGTTTTCAAGCAATGGGGAGGACAAGAGGCACTTTCCAAAAGGGGAGGTTGGGGGGAATTGCTGGACGGGTCAAAATGAGGCTGCGTCGTTTCGCTTGCTCTGCTTACGAGACGCGTGTCATGTTGTACTGACTGCGTGTTGGGGGCGGCGGGGGCTGAAAAGCGTTGACTAATGTCGTCAACCCGTCTCAGGCCTTACAGCGAATTGATAGACCAGTAAGCCCCAGAAACCACTCCTCTCTCCAAACACCCCCCAAGCTTCAAGGCGTCTTTTCACCTTGTTCCATTTCTTTAGCTAACACCGTTGGGGTCGCGCTGGGGCGGAGGGGTGTAGAGTCCCTGTGATGCAACTGAAGCAGTCGCTCGCCTCGGTTTCACCTGGGGTGAGGGTTTTCACATCCTAGTTGGGGATGTCACGTAATTTTTTCCATTCGCCTTCGTTTGCACGCCAAATGTTTACCATGACAAGTTGAACCCCAGGATGCGGGCAAGGTTCTGGACCCGACCGTCCTCCCAAAGACTCCCCAGACGGGCCATGCAAGCCTTAGGTGAACACAAGTTGGCAACACCAAAACGACGTCTATCTCCCAAGCAGCCTTGCTGGTAGGGAAGGTGGGTATGAATCACGGTTTTGGGGCTTCCCGAAAGGAAACCACCTGGATGGTTTCTAGACGGCCTTTGGACCCAGTTGCCCAGTGGATTCCGCCCCTGTTTTCAGCTTTCTTTCTTTTTTTTCCGGAAGCTCCCCTTTAAACAAAAAACATATGCCGATTTTTGTTCCCCATGAAAATCCACTGAGCATCTGAGTGCCTGTCGAGCCCTGCAGGCTACAAGCGGAGCTTGGGCTTTGCACGGAGGATGGCTACAGCACCGTGACGCTGGCAATGGCTTTGGGGAGATGTCGGGAGCTGTCGCATGGCGAAAGAATTCGGCGTCACATGTGTCGTTTGTCAGGACTTGTGCTTCGCCAGCCCATGCTGATTTCGCCGTTATTGGGTCAAAAGGGTTCAAGTATCCCGCTGGCGGTTTGGATTGGGGATTCGAAGCCCTTCCTGTCGAGATGGGAACCCACCTGGCATGCAGACCACCAAGAGAGAAGCTGGAGGTGCCCTTTACCTAAGGTGCTGATTGCCAGTTGCCACCCTTCAATGGTCTTACAATGATCGTGCGATTTTGGGTCAAAGACGAGGGCCTTGCCACTCAGGACAGGCCCCAGCACCTAGCAGAGTGCATTTCCTGGGCCTATATTCGGCTCAATACGATCCCACTACTCCTAAAGCAGGACAGTGTGGCACAAAGAAAGGTGTGAAAGATGTGGCGCGCCGGCAAAAGCCTGGCGGAGCGTGGAGGGCATCCATCTTGGCGCTGCGCCGGGGAATCCTGTGAGTCGCACCCTTGTACCCATGCGAACATCAACTGAGAGCCGTTTTTTGAGGTTTCTTGTTTTCTTCCTTTTTTTTCCTGGGGGGCGGGGGGAGGCCGGGGGTGCATCCAAGGAACGCCTCAGGTTGAAAGCCACTTGGGAGACGACCACACTTGCGCCAGTCCTCCGGCAACGGCCTCCTCACGTCTCTGGGCTTCGCCGCGGCCATCCGCTTCTGCCGGGGCCTCCGAGCCTCCGGGACCCGGCTGGGCCTCGGGACCCGCGGTTCAAGGGGTAGTCGACGTTTGGCGGGTCGAAAGGAAACCATGGGACCAGGTTTAATCCATGCTTCCCATTTGGGGTTCCCATTTTGGGTACATTGACCATTTACCAGGGTTCCCATGTTGGGTACATATTTTTGACCCACTGCCGTTTCTGAATTCTCTTGGGCGAGGGCAACTTTGAGGATGGCAAGTAAGGTGAGCATGTTGACAGGCGTCAACATTGCTATCGAGGGTCCTCTAGACTCCCATTTGGAGGATGTTACCTGACTGTTCCCAGCAGGGGCCCGCTTGTCCAATTCTGAAATGTGTGCGTTTCCATCGCAAGGCCTTGCAGGGCCCATTTTGCCACCGTTCCTGACAACCATAGGATGGAAGTTGCTATCTGACACACATGTGTTTTCTTGGCTGCTCCTTAGTTCTTTGTGGCACTGGTTGCCGCAAGGCTCCGTTTGTGTTCAATGGAAGACACCGGGAATGACTATACTTTTCTGTGTATATTTTCCCAGTCATTTGATCAACCTTGACTCTTTGAATGAATGCCTGTTTTCCCAGCAGCCAAGTTGCTTTGGGTGGGGCAGGGGGCAAGAGCCATACATTATTCAATGCAGTGTGTTGCCGGTTGCTCGTATCAGGTTCGGTCAAAATTTCTGGTAGCCTATGGTCCTTGGGGGGGGGGGACATGAAAGGATGAGCTCATATGAGCTCTTAATTCCCCAAAAACGATAGGGGACGAGCCGCAAGTGTTCCACTGTCCTGTGCGGGAAACCTTCGTAGCTTTGACCGCGCCTCGCCCCTTTTCGCGTTTCCTTAGGCCAAACGGTGCTTACGATCGGCACGGCCTGGCGCCCATGCGGGGAATCGGGGGGGGGGGGGGATACGACCGCAGCTCTCAGGTGTCAATCCAAGCCTTTGGCTTGAGAAGGATTCGAGAGGTGTCTTGAACCTAAGTCCGTGGTAGGCCCTTGGGGGGGTGTGCCTTCGATGGGAATCCGGCACTTGATTTCACAAACAAGGTCTCCTAACAAGTGGGGCCCCGGGCTCCCCCTCGCGTCGTGAACCGCATGAAGATCTCCCTTCTTGGGATACAATTTCCCCAACGAGGAATCCAAAAGGGGGTGGACACTTTTCAGATTTCCAGACCCCAGCAGTTTCTGCCTTTTTCCATATCGTGTGGCACATCTTTGATCTGCAAGCAATTTCCACACCTCGCAACCCATCGAACATTCCAACATTCCAAAAGGCTTTAACACCCTTGAGTCTTTGCGGGGATGGTCTTTGCTTGGGCCACCCCACTTAGGATGTGTTTCAAGTGGCTAGTATCCCCAGTCGACAAGTTCCCCCAGGAATTACTCAACCTAGAACCTAAGGAATGGGAAGTTATTGATTGGGGATATTAACCACTTACCTAGCCATCTTAGGTGGCTCTATTGGTTGAATGGTTTCGAAGTGTCTCCCTTGAAACAACCCAAGTCGTTGTCCATCCTCCTGGACAAGGCGACGAAGCTTCTGAATCCGAAAGGGAAAACAGAACCCAAAAGAGGCTCATACCCGGACCTAGGCACTTGATGACTTGTGCATTGTCTTAGTCGTCTCCATCTGAAGCTGGCTGAGAGAGCTTGCTGGTGGACCTCACCCAAAAGTCAGCTGAGCAGCTCTAACCCCCCCGGTTACATCCCAAGCAAGATACGACATAGGGACCTGTTCAGGAAAACAAAGGATCCACAAGGCGGCCCCAGGCTCAGAAGTCCATCCGGTAGCAGCATTCGTGGAAGGTTTGCAGAGTTGCTCAGCTCCATTATCGATTTCCCACGGCAGGCCTGCCCCGCGGGTCTCTTCGTGCCTTCTCTCTTCATCGGTGCCTGTTTGGGGTGCCAGCCTCAGAGCTTCCCCGTCGGGCTGTTGGACTGGACGTTTGAATCTTCCGTTTCTCAGTGGCTCCCAGCCATCCGGTTCCTTAGCTTTTTAGCCGTTTAGCGGTAGTTTCCATTTGACCCACTAAAAGTTAAGCTTTTAGCGAGGGATCTGAGGACAGCCCAGTTCAATATAAACCAGGCCTGCTGCCGCCGACCCTCATGGGACCGGTCCTGGGAACAGTCCTGGGGCTGGTCCTGGGACCAGGCCGGGACAAGTCCTGGGACCAATGACCAGATGATCGGCGGCTTTTTTCCCTGTTGATTTCAAAGGGAATCTATCACTACTTACTGGACATAATATGATTTGTTCCAGGGGACTTAAGCAGATGGATGTAATGGAAACCCCAGATGAGTAAACCCCACGTCGATTTCTAGGACACGCCAACCTGGTTTAGTGGGGATTCATCACGTAGGATGTGGGGTCAACATGCGTGGTGAAAGGCGTAGACTTTTCCTGGCCAATCCATGGCAGTGAGAAGACATGGCAATGCGGCCGTTTTAGTAAGAAATCCTCAAAAGTCGCCCACGAAAAAGGGCTATTTGAAAGGTCACACAAGTCCTAAAGGTCTTTTGAGGATTCCTTAGGTTGTAGCCGCTTTAAGGGACCCAACAAAAATCAGAAGAATGCCCGTCCCAGCATTTGTTCTCCTTGCAGGAGCTAAGAAGAGGGCCGCATGGACTGACAGATCGTTTGGCAAGGGATACTTCCCTTGGAGAAGGCATTTTCAGGTCGGGATGCAACGCTGCCATTTCAGTAGCGCACTTGTTCCGAAACAGAAAGGAAGAGGACGCTGCATGCACGTGCGTCGTCGGACTTCTTGATTCGGAACGAGTTCGTTTTGCCCCAGAAGCAGAACCGATGTTCCTTTCATTGCTTTCCGTTTGGGTCTGGCAATGGGCTTGACTCAAATCTTCGTGTGGAGCTCTGGTAGGCATTTGCAATGCCGAAGCCCTTGTAATTAACGGCAACGGTAACTTCCTGTTGGAGTCAAACATGGAACCAGCCCATAGTGGCCTTCCGGAGCACGGGGATGTCTCAGAGCTGCATCGGCATGATTGAATGCGTGGGCGGAAAGAGCAAAGCAAAGCTGTAGGCCCCTCCAATTTTCCGCACAAGTTCCCTCGTGGCATGGGCGGCGTAGGCTTAGGCGTGTGACCGTCGAGCAATATGACTCACACTGTTGCATTTGCACACGCATGGCATGCATGCCATGTGCGTCACGTGAACCATATTGAGAATGGGCAACATGACGTGACTGCTGTTGCAGCACAAAGGCAGCATGACTCACCTGAAAATGAGCGATGCTAAGGGACCTACAGCATGCGCGGCCTGAGTGGCAGAAGCCAAGCAGAAAGATCAAGCAGGTTGCCATGATTTGCCAGGGGCTTGGGGGGAAACCATCCAAACAAATCGTACTGTATGGTTGGCTGCTGCTTAACAAACGTGTTTTGATACGCCAGAGAACCAGGAACCAGCTGATAAAACCTGGTAAGAAGCTGCCTCAAAGACAGCGGTTTCGTTGGAAGCTGGGAATAATCACTCCAAAGCCACGTCACTAAGCGAAAATCGGATTGTACAATGCAAGTCTCGGCATTCAATATGATTGGCCACATGGCACCGAACGCAAATGGGGAAGCAAGGCAGCAGCGTGGCCGAAAAAAACAGGGTGTCGGTCAGAAGACGAGCCATAACTAAGTGCCTCGAAGAGCTCCAGTGCCTTGTCTGAGACCTCAAAACTGGTTTGGGTTATGCTTCCAGCATGGCCCGTGATCCACCAGGATGAGGCCTCCCCCAAACCCAAACCCCCTAAACCTGTTTTCCTACCATAAAAGTACATCGACATACATACTTGTGTGTTCGACTTAACTCGCGACCACGCATGGGTTGTAGCCTAGGTTGCCAGCCACTTCCGGGCACTTGAGTGCCACATGCCAACACCCCGGAGACAAAAGAGAGCAACCACAAAAACAGCCTAGACCCGGATGGCATGGGAGATTATGCATCGCACAAACAGCACCCTGACCTGCACAGGATGTGCGGCAACCACCTTGCCCGATTTCGCTGAACAAACCCCTCTTCTTTAGAAGTGAGAACCCCTACATGACATGTTCTCGAAGGGAAGTCAAAGGAAGTTTATCTACAGCATGGGTGTTCCAACCCCACAGCTAAATTTCAAGGGGGATACAAAAGAAAGCAACATATATATATATATATATATGACAGATTCTCAATTCCTTGCACTCGGTCGGTTCCTTTAGTTTTCAGGCGGTGCCTGGCATTGGGCCTCAAGGCGCTGAATGCTGGAACCAAGATGCCCGGGGCACAGAACGGTTTCTTTTGTCAGCTTCCCTTGCCCACGGTTGTTGTTGGGAAACATTTTACATTCTCACCTGCGACTCCAAGCAACCCACCTTTTTAATACACCTTTGAAACAGGGGTGTCAGGGTTGTTGTTGGGAAACATTTTCCAAGTTCCGCCCTTGGCTACCGGATCAGTTAAGTAGGCCTGCTGAACCTAAACCGTTTCGGGCGGGGTGCGTTTGGGCTGGTTTTGGGTGCCCCATGATGGTCTCAGTCTGCCTAGCTGGGTTCTAGCATGTACAAGCGGTTCAAGTGGACCTTGAGACAACCACTTGATGTGGTTGTTCAAGTGGGCTCTAGGGTAGGCATCGCCCGGCTTAGATCAATTTGTAATTAACTTGGGACAAATGAAGTGCATTCCCTCAAACTCACCCGAAAGGCATCCCCCCTCCAACCATGCAGGCAGTGCCGAAAGATTAGAAGAGTGCTTGGCATTTGATGTTTGGCCGCCCGTTGATCTCAAAAGAGGGCCTAGGCAGCACGTCACCAGCCGCTCAAAAGGTTGGGATCTTGTTCTCTTTCTAAAAGGCGGCTGTTCAACCTTTTGGCCGCAAGGGTTCATGAGGATAGTCCATGTCACAGTCGTGCTTAGTGATGAGGGGGGCCCTGAACGTTATCAGCCCAAATGCCATCAACCTGCCAATCGCCTTTCCTTGGGCATAAGTTTGTGTCGCGGTAGGGGCAACCTCCCCACATGCTGAGCCTTCGGGGGGCAGGAATGGAACCAAGCCCTTGAGGGCTTAGCTTTTGGCCGCAGGAGGCTCCATGGCCCAGCAACTTCCCCCAGCTCCCATGTCAAATGAGCCATTTTTTTCCGAATGAAGGGTAGTAAGGGCAGTCCCAACCGGGTTTTAGTTGGACCATCCTAATGCCAGGTTTTCAGCATGACTCAGCAAACATATAAATATGGAGTAGTTGACCCTTGTTCTGACATGGTGCATTCTTGAACATGACGGTTGCTCTCCAGCAGCCCGAGACACACCACATGTCCGGCTCTCATTCATGCCTGCCCGCCAATGCGAAGACATGCGCATCTTAGAGTAGCATCCCACCAAAGAAACCCTGGAATCATGATTCTCTTGCAAATGCCAAGGAACACTGGCTTCCCATGGTTTCCAAATGCAGGATTCCGTCTATCCAGAGTATCACCATAAGTTGGTAGGCCCACCCGAAACCGATACCTATCAACCTGAAAACCCGTGTGTTGTTTGGGGTACCCCCTTTCAGATTGGATTGAAGGAATCCAAAAGAACAGCAACTACTTTGCGGGGCCCCAATTTGGAGAGATACCCATGACATCGGATGGGCTTCATTTGGCCCGTTCCAAGGTTTCCGCACACCATCGAGCCCGGCGCCGGGGCCCGAACACAGGGCCTATGTGCGATGTTGGTTTTGGGGTATGGCGTTGCATATGCTGGGTTTTGTAGCGGTCGTGGTGGATGCCTTTGCATCTTTCACTGAAAACAATGTGAATTTCCGTGGGTGGTGATGTTCACGATCGAAAGGCAGCTGGAGCCACAAGGGAAACTTCAAGCCGCCCCTGAACACTCGGACATTGTGGCCACATGTGCTACGTAGGGTGACGTGTTCAGGGGGTTTGGAAGTATTCCCACGTTGCTCTAACAAAAGCTGCTCAACTGCGTGAAAGAGCATGTATGCCTCTGAAACACCATGCTCACCCGTGAGCAAAGCGTAAGTGCCTCCTTGAAGCGCAATGAGTTGACGTTTGACCTTGAATGATATCGTAGAGCCAAGTAGCGGATTTACCAGCTGCACTTCTTGACCGTTATACGGAGAGGTGTGCAATGCAGCCCATGTGACATTGACGGGAAAGCCTACCCAGGCAACGCAAAGACTCAACTGTGCAGGTTGCACAGCTCTCTTGCTTCAACTGCATCATGGCAGCTGTGCAGAAGTTAAATCGCGAATGGGCGTGAACTTGACTTCGGCCCCCTTCGACCCTGTTTACCCTGGAAAGACGTTGAGGGCGTAGTTTGCTCATGTCTTTGGAGATTGCGGATGCCTCTTGCGAGAAATTTGGAATCTGGAACGAGAATATGGCTTTGCTGGTGAAAGTGTCTTGTTCAAGGTGGCAAAATGGCCCAGGCGGCAAGGCCTATCTCCATCCAGGGTGTTCAGCAGAATGGTCACCCTGCGGGTTGTGAAGACTGCAGGAAGCAGAGCGAGAGATGGATAGGTCTGGGACGTGCACCTAAGTGCCAAGCCTCTCACTGCTCCACGAAAGGAACGGCGGCGCCTACGTCCCCAACCAAGTGCTCGTTTCTTTTTGTCGGTGCGATGTACGGAAGTGGCCAGGTTTTTGCCATTAGGAGCTCTGAGTCTGCAGGGTTGCTTCTGGCCAAGCCCAGTTGGGCGAGAAGTTCCTTGCCTCCCTCATTGGTGAAGGCCGATAGCAGGCCGCGTGTGTTGAAACTGGGGCACTCCCGAAAGGTTCGTGCGTGCGTTTTCCGCCTCAAAAAACAACTTGATCAAACAAAGCTTGCAGAGCGATGCGTTGAGGGGGCAGCTGCATGCCGCTGTGTGCGGTATGGGCTCTCTGCGAAGCAAGCAGCTTGTATCGAGGGTTGAACGCTTTGCTTGCACTCTTTGGCCCAGAAGCGCCGCCGGACGAGTCGCGAAAAGTCTCGGTCCCACGCGCTTGGCGCGTCTGCGCGTCGCCAGGCTGCGGGCACCCACTCGACTCCAACGTGTTACCTGGCAGCCCCACTCGCCGCTAGCGCGAGTGTTTTCTTCAAGGAAGCGAAAGAGAACACCCCTGCCTAGATTCAGGGTTGCTTTCAGCCGCCTCCTGTTCAGCGCCTTTGCCATCGCGCTGCGTCTTGAAAACGGCTGGCGTGTCCTTTTGCGCATCCAGCACTGAGCATGCAGGAAGCTCATTCTGCCCACTAATCCGAAGCTCTGGCTAAATATGCGGTGAAACCTCCAGGACGCACGCTCTCGCAGATTTGAGTGCGGCCTCTAGAGTATTGTGGCAGCTTCGCACCTTTGTGCACGCAGAGCGGCTTTTGGTCGCTCTACTGCAAAGTAAGCATAGAATGCTTTGCTTCTATTGTTTTTCCAATACACGCACGCTTTGGCCCCCCGAAAAGCGCGCGAGACGAGTTGAGAGAACCGCGCAGGCTGCAAGCAGCCACTCCGCAACTCAGGTGTTCCAGGCGCTTTAAGCGGCCGTCGTTTGAAATGACATTTAGCGTTGAGGCTTCCAGGATTGGTTCCAACGTGGTTGAACTCTTGCAAAGGTCGATTGAATCTTTCGGCTTGCAGACGCTTGAACAGCGTCGTCGTTTTCAGACGGGGCAACGGTACTTGCATTTTTTGT